CGCGAGCCTCAGGAGCCGCTACAGGAGCGGGGGAGGGGATGGCCGAAGCGATGGTGCCAAAGGCAAGAGCGGCGAAGGTGGCGATCTTGGCGAAAGAGAACATGCTGACTAGAGAGGAGAGGAGAGAGATGAAGGCCGGAGAGGACTGCGGTGCGGTCGATGAAGCTCAGGTGAACCCTTGGCTGAGGGTTGGAGGTCGTTGCAGAGGCACATTATATACGTACCCGAACACGCTGCACACCGTACCATCAGCCTGTCCTCGTAACATCGTCAAGATGTCATCGAACTTCTCTCAACGTCGGCGAACACTGGTCTGCGAGCGATGAGAGCGACTTACAGTGATCCTCGCATGTGGATACACTCGTATGACGTACAGGGCTTGAGCTCTATCTTGAAATTCAACCTCCTCGGGACCAAGTGTTGCTGAGATCCTGTTGAAAGCTGGGAGAGCACGATGCGTGTTGTGGAGCGTCGTAAGATTGCTGAACTGGAAGCCCAGGTGACCGTGTCGGACATGGAAGAAACCAGGGGCATTGGGTAGCGCATCGAACTTAACGAAGCAGTGACCGGCAGTCGACTCGGGCACGGTGCAATGAGCGCACAGACCGAACCGCGAAGGGTCCTGGTGGGAGGGTATGGGAACCGTACCGAGCCGCGTTTCGCCGCACGGTACGCGGAACACATATCATCGTCGGTTCAAATGTGTTGCCCTTTCTCGACACCGAGAACTCGCATTTCAGGAAGATGGGAAGCTTTGGAAGTAGTTACAGAAAGCCAAACGCTTCCGCCCATCCGATTCTCTCGAGGTTGATTACTGCCGCTGCACGCCTGTGCCCGGTTGCACCATACTGCCCTCGGTTGAACCTAGGTAGCTCAAGCCACCGCCATCGACACGTACATCCCTTGATGTCACAATGAGTGAATCGGCGCTCAGTGATGGCAAGATCACAGTGAACGCGGGTCCACCCTCCCGCCACGACGAGTTTGGCCGTTTGAACTCCGAGACTTACGCCACGCGTGAGGGATACGGTTCTATGAGTCGGCGTACAGAGCCAGAATAGGCATATTTGCCGATCGGACGGTCACACCGATGGTCAAATGAAGGTGGTGGTGGTCAAAAGCAAACTACGTGCGCATGCCGCGCGCCGAAGTGCGATTATGGGCGCCTATTTGCTTGAAGTTATACCCGGAAGCTTCCGGGCCGCAACTACAGTCCTCCGCCTCGAGCCAGAGTTTACGTTCGGCCCTCATGAGATCTTTCGATCGCGTCGCTGTTCACGGTCGTACTGGATAGCCGGATACCCCTGCGGCTGCCAGCATGGCTGGCGCTCTCTGAACTCTCGACGGACATTCCCTTACAGCTAGTCACGTTCACGGCCATGCGTTAGGAATCGACTTCTATCGTCTTCTGCCACTTCTCACCAGATCGAGAGTCGCAGACTGCACAGCGTCTCGTATCGCCATCGTGCTGCTTCCTTCGCACGGGACGGTCGCCATCTACTCGTCCTTCATCTCCGCGCTATCGGCGACGAGACTCGCGCGCATCGCGAGTCCGTTGAAGCCGAGGACGGCTATCGACGATCATCATCTTCACAAGACGCTCCACAAACACCTGCTGCGTGAGCCTGTAGATGTGCTCTAAGTATTCGCCATCAGCTTTGTCCTCCTCAGGAGCCGGAAGCCAAGATGCATAGCGCCCCCTCGTTGTGCCATTATTTCACAAGACTTCATTTTTCTGCATACTGTGCTTCGGACTCGTCCGGTTCGCTGTTGGATAGTGCGCATGATCTGTCACGTTGCGAACACTGTGTCCCGCCCACAATTCACCAACTCGCGTCATCGCCCATGGTGGCCGCTACCTAGGACCTGTGCTACGTAGCGTGTCTACTTATACCAAAAGCTTGACTTTTCTATGAGAGTAAGAAACGTGAATTCCAGTAGCACACGCGACGAAGACAAGCTGAACGGCGAGCAGAATACGTCAGTCGTCGTTACGATCTGATCGATAGGTCTCGTGGACATGACCAGCTTTAACGGTATCGACGGACATACTTGTCAGAGTCTTATGAGGAGACGTCATCGTAGCCATTGCTAAAAAATGTTATAATTCACCATAAGCGCAACAGCAAGCATCCATCGTCGGGATCGAAGTCGAGGGTTGGGCCGTGAGAGCGGCTTTCCTGAGCAAAAAAGTCTCCGCATGCGCACGGCACCGAGCTGCGTCACTTGCACAGAACCACCACTGTGATTGTCCGGAGCTCTACCACACCGTATACGACTCTAGTGGACGCTAGACGACGCATGATAGATCCTGGTACCATTTGCCTCAACTCAACGTGCACTTGACTGCACTGGGCGAGCCGGGAGACCACCCGAGTGTACTCACGAAATGTGATCCCAACACTCCGAGTCTCAACGTCTCAACGATGGTCTTGCCGTGCGCGAGGCTTCTTGTACGTGCTATGACCGCGCGCCAAACCAGCGATGTTGTATCTGGTGCTCTTCCGGCGGACTTACCTACGCCGCCCATCATCCGATAGCGCGTCTGTTGTCAGCTTTTCCTACAGCATCCTTCAGTGGCCTACCTCATTCGGGTACTTCGACTACCTACGGACTCCATACCGTTTACATTCAGCCCGAATGATCTTGTCGACATTCTGCGCTCACCCACCTCTGCTCTCGGATCCGCGGCGGCCGTTTCTCCGGCGCAATATATTGATTCGCAAGATGCGTAAACAAAGTCAATATCCTGCTATGAACCAGGCGCCGTTTAGGTGCCTCGCAGTATACGATCCCAGCCTCGTGATAGCGGTACCTTTGTACACATGGCAACATGCTCGCGATTTGCTTGACCACGTCCCATTGGTTGCTATGCCCTTCGATCGGCGCCGGGCGTCACCATCATTTCCTCAATTCAACTGCTCTGATCTAGGAGGTTGACACCATTGGCGGACGTATGGACATATCGATCGGGACGCCTGTATAGCTTCATCGCTGTACGCTGCTTCTCGCTCAGGGTTGGCTAAGCTTCCTGGAGATACGAGTATACGTATCCGGCAGCGACGCCCTACTCGTACCCATCGACCCTGCACGCGCGTCGAACTTCGTATACGCTTCGACCTCGGCGAGCGGGCCTTAAAGGGATCCACTCCTTTGCCCACGTCAATTGCTATCATCAAGTGAACAACCGCATTCGCTGATGCACGTATGTCCGCTTTAGATGGACCTGATCGAGGCCCTGAAATGCCATCTTCAATCTATTCAGTGGGCGTCCGAACGTGCATCGCGATATGCCCAAAGGGCTTTGCGCCAGTGGCGCGGAGAGCCGGCGTAGAGGCGGTCCCCACGCCAGCACATCCCCGTCAATAGGACAAATGGCACTAGATATGACGCCCGCACCTGTGCCGACGCCTCATCTCGTATAAAGGGCTGTCACTCGAGAACGGACAAACTTCATCACGCGCGCCCCTGTGGTGATTGTCTCGGTTCTTGCCCTTCGTCCGGTTATCCCTCGCTTTACTTTTGGTTGCACTCCCTCCTTCCTTTAACACTATGTTCTCCTGGTCTACCCTCTTTCTCGCTGCCGCGACCACCGCGCTCGCGGCCCCTTCCGCACGTGGCCCTACTTTCCAGCCGCCGACGCAGATGACGGGCTGTGAAGTCCCCGCATCGGTTCTGCAGCAGATGATGCCCGCGAACCAGACCACCATTGTCGCTCCTTCTTCCGCACCAAAATACGTGGCTCTGGGCGTTGGCGTTCAGAACTACACCTGCTCCTCCGCCGGTACTTTCACGTACGTTCTTCTTACGCGCTTCATTCCCTGGTCCCGCGCTAACTTGATATTGCATTTCATAGTAACATCGGCGCGTATGCCGAGCTCTTCGACATCTCCTGTCTCGCGAGCACGCCCGCGTTCGGAGACATCCAGACCAAGGCTTACCAGATGTGGAACGCCTCTCCGCAGACGACGACTCAGCAGCTCGTCGACGCGATGGGCGACAAGCCCGTCATCCTCGGCCAGCACTACTTCATCGCTAACCCCTCCGGCACCGGCGCGAACGTCCCCAAGTTCGACTTCACGGCCGACCGTGACGCCGGCGATGCGTCGGCGTTCGCTGTTATGAGCAAGGTCGGCGATATTGCCGCGCCTACGGGCTCGAGCGATGTGGATTGGTTGATGCTCAACACGACGAGCGGGAGCCTTGCGAGCCAGATCTTCCGTGTTGCTACTGTCGCGGGCACGGATGGTGCTGCTGTGCGTATATCGTTTGCATCATTGTTCGAACTTCGATTCTTATCGTCCCACGTAGTGCACGGCCGACCAAACCGCGAGCGTCAAGTACGTCGCGAAGTACTGTGAGTCTTCTCTCCCTCTCACCGCTCAAGCACGAACACTTCCTGATGATCATCCATCCAGTCTTCTACTAGTCCTCGCGACAAGCTCGCGGTTCCCTTCTTCTTGGTCTCTCGCTCTACCCTTCCTGCTTCTACGATCTCACACTTGGAACTTGAGTTTTACGGATATCTTTATCATGGTCGTCACATGTAGACCTGCTTCATGCCTTCCTGTACCGCGCGATGTTGCGCCGTCCGTCAGCGACGAGTTGTTGTTCGAGCTAAAATCTGACAATCATTGCAAACTCGAACTTCGTTGCCTGAGAGTGGAAGTTAATGTCGGAAGGACGGTACGTATAGAGCATATGCTACATGCATAGGATGTATGATATGGTTTTGTGTATGTTATAGCAGTGAGACGGGCATCACAGGACTTCCGTCCTGTAGTCTGTCTGCTTCGTACTCCTCGGCCATTCGACCGCTGGCGACGTCCCCGATTGGCTCCCGGCGAGCATCAGCTCAACAATATCCGTAACTCGAACGTGACGAATATTTTTTGGCGTCTATGTAGCTTGGCGGAATGTACATAGACGAGCCACATTAGCCAAGCTCTCCTCGGTTAGAGGGCCGTCTGGCCTCTCACAAGTACAGAAGAAGCTGTAGATTCTGGGGATCGAAGCCGGTGATATCTTGATGGAGACATGTGCCCCTATCTTTGTGCCTCTGCGGGTGTCCCTATGATGGTACGTACGGTGGCTAGGAAAAGGAATTGGCATGCGCGGTCTGAACAGCATCATGCTCTCGCACAGGAGGATATCGCGTCCAGCCGCATCAAGTTACTTGCCTCGCGAGCACACGATCATAGCCCAACAACGGTGACCATACGGCTCACAGACTGTACGGGCAATAGCTAGAATATGTATGAGGTTTGCAGTTGGTTGCGAAACGATAGCTCCGAGCCCGCTTCTGCCAATCATCGTCGCATCACGCCGTGCAAGGTGCCACAACGTTGTGCATGTACAGACCGTCGCGTAATAGACTGAAGATCCCGCGACTGCGTACTGAACTGTATCTCAGCCGTCGGCAAGGGTCTTTGCATACGAGCTGGTCAAGCACGACGAGGAGAGATCGGGGTCTTGACGCGACGCCTCGCGCTTTGAATATCGGCCGGATTCGGCCGCGCCACCATATGCATATGGGCGCTCAGCGCTGCCAGTCTCGCAATTGCAGCAGTCTATGTGCAGACGGCAAGCGGGCCTACGCATCGGTTGTGAGGGCAGAGTTGCGGGTCCAACGTCAAGCACAAGGCGATGATGGTGGTCCGAAGGAGAGCGCTGATATTGCGGCTCTCGCGTCTTGAGGTTGTTCGTACGCACTTGCGTAGTTACAGACCTCTCATACATGGCATCCAGTGAGACATTCGCTGCGTGGGGACCTCCAGCGTAGCAGATGCGTGCTTATTCGCTGGTGCAAGGAACACTCGTTCGTGACAGACGCGCTAACCCTAACCCGAAGTCGTGATTGAGGACCGGGCTTGGCCGCGGGTCCTGTGATAACCGCTCTACCTCGAAGTTGGATACTGCCCACACCGCATGAGGAGAACATGTACCACTTGCGCACCTCCGAGAGATGTGGTACTTTGACCGACCAGCTTGCAACGCGAGTCGCTTTGTCGCGACCGACCTTCACTCAGGACAACAGGCAGCGGCCGCCAAGCGCACACGTCCCAGAAGCATACCCACCTGCAGACAGATGATAGCACTCACTCAGACATCTTCAAGCTCTTGATAGAACAGAGTGTAGAGAAGCGGCACCACATACTATACACATCGTCGAGATCTTCAATCGTACGTCACATCGTCGAGCCACATACATCGCGCACAAACCACATTTCAGAATCCCCAAACCCATTCTTCCTCCTGCAGTTCTTCAAAAGTACCACCCTCCCTCCCTCTAGGGCAGCTCGAGCACAGTCTGCATAAACTGATCATAGTTGATCTGCACCCAACCGTCCCGATCGTTGTCCAGCCGCTGGAAGCTCTCCGTGATCTGCTTAATGACCACACACGCCCTCACGAACCGGTCGAACGTGATGCCCTGCGGCGCGCCGCCCTGGCCGGGGAACGGCGGCATGCCTCGTCCGGGGGGTCCGCCGGCAGGAGCAGAGCCTTTAAGACCTACCCCAGAGGGTAGACCGATCAGTATTCGCGGTATATGAGGTAGAAGGGGGAGGGGGCGCACCGTATTTGCGCTCGAGGAGGACGAGGAGCTGCGGCGAGAGGTTGTACCCGAACTGCCGGAGGGCCTCGGAGAGCTCGCCGCCGTCGATCGAGCCCGAGTTGTCGCGGTCGAAGTGGCGGAAGACGCCTTGCCAGTCTTTGATGTACTTCCAGAGGCCGGAGAACTGCGAGCATACGTTAGCATGGGCGTATAGAAGATAGGAGATAGGAGACGAGGAGCGCACCTCGTTGAAGCCGATCGTCCCGCTGCGGTCGGTGTCGAAGATGTTCATGAGGAGCTTGACGGTGTCGAGATCGAACGGGCTCCAGTCGCCGTTGATCAGCGCGCGCTCTACACATTGCAATCTGTCATCAGTATCTCGACCAGTGAGTGCTCATCCGGCTTGTACGTACGAAGCTCGCTGGCGGAGATCATGCCCGATCGGTCGAGATCGACGGCCGTGAACCAGTTCCAGAGACTGAGCACTCGTCAGTACAAGTAGAAATTGGGATAGAGTGAAAGTCGTACGTGGGGTCAGCACCAGGAGGAGGACCACCGGGAGGACCGCCCATCGCGAAGCCGCCAGGGCCGCCACCGTGGCCACCGTGGCCGCCAGGGGGAGGCGGAGCGCGCGAGCCGTAGCCGCCGCCGTACTAGTACATTCAAAGTCAGCATACTAGACTTGCAATGTTGACACTGTCAACTTACAGAGTCGCCGCCGTATCCGTAAGACATGTTGTGATTAGAGTAACTGGTGGTAGTTGGTGGTCAGTCGGAGAGAGTTGATGATGAGACTCGGGAAACAAGGATGCCGCGTCAATCTCAGATTTATATGTCCGCGCGGGTGGCGCGTGCTTTTGTACTCTACTTTGACGTCGTGGATCGAATCCAAGACTACTTCCGTACTCACAGGGCGGTGCGATGCGATGTAAGTTGGTGTGGTGGTTCAGAGTCAAGGGCAGCGAGGCTCTGTCAAGTACACGACCTAGTACGTGCTGGGCAGGACCCAAGATAAGATGCGATGAATTGACTGTTCCTGGTCTTGCCGCGCTTTGCACAGCCGTGACGCGTATATGGGTCCATTACGGTCCCGTCCTCGCTCATCTCAGTAAGCCTTTCTGTCTTCTGAGCCAGACTACACATTCCGACATACACTGCACGCGGCACTGCAGCAGGACGCAGAATGCTCTGTAAACATCGATGTCGATAACCTCCCGCCCAGCGAATCGATGAGGGAGAAGACACGGAGGATCCCGCGCCGCCGACCCACGTGTACGCGCGCCCGGGCTTTGACGCCGGACATTTGTGTTCCTCTCGACCTCGACGACGACTGCGACCGGCAGACGGCTCATACGGCCTCAAAGGGCTCTTCTGACGGTCATCTCCGTGCCCCCTCTCCTCCTTTCTCCCATCTGGGCCTTCTCGCGCAGTCCTGCTCTGCGTTTCAGCCTGGGCTGAAAAATGGAGTGCAGCAGGATAAATGGAACCGGCACGTGCTCAGACGCGGGCTCTGTTGACTGACGGCGCCCAGCCGCGACTTGTCCCCGGCCCTCCACCACCCAGACGCGTCCTGCCCCCCATCCACCCTACCCTCCCAACTATCTGTCTACTCAACTACGCGCGTCTAGCCATATAACACGTGATGTCCGGCCTGAAGAACTCGCCGTTCGGCAAACGCGTCCGGGCGACGCAGCAGGACGAGGACGACCGCGACAGCCGGCCGCGCACGCGTCCGCGGATAAACTCCATGTTTCCCGGAAATAGTGCTGGTGCCGGGCCGTCGTCTACGCCGTCCTCGGACGACTCGTACTCGTACGGCCACGCGCGGATGGCCGGGCCGAGTGGATCGTCTATCGTCAGGGAGTACGGCGATCGGTTCGTGCCCGCACGAGACGCGGGCGATCTGAGGACGAGCTACAATTTGATGGAGGAGACGGGCCACCACTCGCCGTCCAAGGCCAAGCTGATCCCTACCGAATCTGACGCTGTGAAAGGTTAGTCTCTCGCCACACCACCAGTTAAATTGTGAATATTGACTGAACTACAGAACAAGCCAACTCGCTCTTCAATTCCATTCTGCACACCGAAGTCGCGCCGTCATCACCAACCCGCACCCGGCCCTCGTCGCCCGCGCGCCCACAACAAGCCATAGCCGGCCCGTCCACGCCGAACCGGATGCGTCTGTTCGCCTACGCCTCGCCCGGTGGCTCAGACCCCACCACGCCCTCGCGCCGGCTCGACACGCCGATCGACCAAGCGTACTCCCTCTCGCCCGTCCGCGCCTCGTCCCGCGCCCTCCTCGAGTCCCCGCGCCGCCAGCTCCGCGCAGTGTGCAAGACGCCCTACCGCGTGCTCGACGCGCCCGACCTCGCAGACGACTTTTACCTGAACCTCGTCGACTGGAGCAGCACGAACGTGCTCGCCGTCGGCCTGGGCGCGCAGGTGTACCTCTGGACGGCCCACACGGCCGCCGTCTCGCGCCTCTGCGATCTCGCGCCCGACACCATCTCCTCCGTCTCGTGGGTCCAGAAGGGCAGCCAGCTCGCCATCGGCACTATAGCCGGCCGCCTGCACATCTACGACGCCGCGCAGCTCAGCATGGTCCGGACGTTCAAGAAGGCGCACGCGCAGCGCATCGGCGCGCTCGGCTGGATGGGCCCCGTGCTGGCGAGCGGGAGCAGGGACCGGCTGATCCATTTTCGGGACGTAAGGGAGAAGACCGTTAAGCCGTTCAAGGCGTCCGCGGCGCATCGGCAGGAGGTGTGCGGGCTGAGGTGGAACGAGACGACGGGCCTGCTCGCGAGCGGCGGGAACGACAATAAAGTGTGCATTTGGGATCTGAGGGGCAGCAGGAGGAGCCGCGCGGCGAGCAGGGGTGTGCCGCCGGCTGTGCCGCCCGCGGCGAGCGGCGAGGAGGACGATACGCCGCTGTGGAAGTTCCACGAGCATAATGCTGCTGTCAAGGCGCTCGCGTGGGATCCGCATGTTAGTGATGTCCTGGCGAGCGGGGGCGGAACGCAGGATAAACATATTCGGTTTTGGAACGTGCAGTTTGGGAACTGTATTGGGGCGCTCGACACTGGATCTCAAGTCTGCAATTTGACTTGGAGTCTTACGAGCCATGAGCTTGTGTCTACGCACGGGTTCTCGAGCTCGACGGCGCAGAACCAGATCTGCATATGGCGGTATCCCGCGTTGGAGATGGTCGCGAGTCTGGCCGGGCACACGAGCAGAGTGCTGTACCTCGCCATGAGCCCAGACGGCGAGACAATCGTGACGGGTGCCGGCGACGAGACGTTGCGGTTCTGGAATGCGTTCCCCAAGAGGGAAGAGAGCGGACGAAGAGAGAGCGCGTTGGATTACGGGAAGCTGATTCGGTGATCCTAGTACTGTTTCGTTTCGTTCGTTCGATGATGCTGTGCGGTGTATGCTTTTTGTACGATTTCGATGCTTTATTTCGCGCTGCGACTACGATAGATATCATACTAGCTTTCTCTCTGCCTCTGCTTCGGACTACGATCATCTCCCCATGCTCCATGTTTTGCTCCCATTGTACAATCCCCTGCTCCATCTCCATATCTCTCCATCTCCATCTCGTCGTCTGCTCTGGATCTAGCAATACTACATACAACGCCATTACCAATGTTATGCGCCTGCTCGCATCTTGCTGCGCTACCATCTGAATCCCAACGCTCGAAGTTCGAAGCCTCTTATTCCAAGCCGAATATAGGATAGCTCGGTTGATGGCGAATCGGCGCGGTGTGGCACCGAACGTCAAGTTCGACTTCTCGTTTCCGACTTCCACCATGTCGTAGCGGCTGCTCGACAATCAACACAATGCTAGCCTTCCCATTCGCGCTCGCCCTAGTCCTCGCAACGCTCTCAGCGCTCCTCTACTCGCCCTCCAGCACCGTTCCCACCTCCTCATCCTTCCCATCTCCGAATAACACCGACACGCAACGAGTGTTACTGCTGACGGCGCACCCGGACGACGAGGCGTTCTTCTTCGGTCCTACGCTTAGTGCGTTGGGTAGAGTGGATGGGGTGGAGGTGTATTCGCTTTGTTTGAGTGTTGGTGACGGGGACGGGGATGGGGTGGTTAGGGTGGGGGAGTTGGGCAGGAGTCTGGATGTGTTGGGCGTTGAGGAGGGGAGGAAGGAGGTGGTGGATAAAGCGTACGCATAGCATTGGCCTTGATATGATGTGAGATGTATGACTGATTGGTGTTGTGGGTGTAGCGGATTGAAAGACGATATCAACACAGTATGGGACGCCTCGCTCGTAGCTCACACAGTCCTCCCGTTCGTACTCAAGCACAACATCACAACCGTGCGTACCCCTTCTCTCCCCACCCCACATGTCTCCATCTAACAAACCCCACCCGACCAGATCCTAACATTCGACAACCTCGGCATATCCTCCCACCCGAACCACCGCTCCCTCTACACCGGCACCCGCACGCTCCTCGCCTTCCCATCAACACCCCCATCACTCCGCGCACACGCCCTCCTAACAGTGCCCCTCCCGATCAAATACATCTCGCTCCTCTCGGCGCTTCAAGCGAAGTTCGACATCCTCGTGTCTTCGTACGCGTACCTTCTCCCAGCTTGGCTTACTGGAGATGGAGGGGCGGGCGTGCCGGTACCCGTGTTCGTCGCGGGGACGGGAGATTGGATGAGGGCGGTTAGGGCGGTGGTGGAGCATAAGAGCCAGATGAGGTGGTTTAGGTGGTTGAATTTGGTCGGGTCGAGGTATTTTTGGGTTAATGAGTGGGTTGAGGTTAGGGCTGCTGCTGTTGGAAAGACGGTGTGATTGTTAGTAAGGCTTGGTCGATCCGAGTGTATTCAAGCTCTGCTGATATTCTTGAAGTAGGATGCCTAGGCTATAGGCTGCAACTCTTGCAAGGGTGCGGTGCTCAAGGCCGATGAAACAATATTGATAGTCAATGTTCTACTAGCTTGAACCGTAATGCAATGTCGCTCGAAGAGGGATATGTATTGCCTGTCCCTCGCTGATGCATAGATGACTACCCCTCTACTGTGGACCGAAGCTCAAGTCATACAGGGACGAGTAAGCTTGTCGCTACCTCTATTGAGCGTATGCACGATATGAGGATCACGTCGAACGACGTTGAACACCGACGCCGTGCACTAGAAATGATAGTTTTTGATCATTAGCTCGAGTCTCCGACTCTCTGAACGACACGTCGGCGAACATCACGTAGCGCTCCACATTCACCATCGCTGTGAGTCTCTCGTTGAATGCTTCAGAGCCCATACTGATATTGGCCCTTCTAATAACAGGATGTACACGCTTCCATCATTGACCCGGGAGGACCACCCACATGATTCATATCTACCAGAGCATTGACCGACGCGTTGGGCGACGATGCCAATCAGCAGCTTAGCGAGGAGGACTGTGAGCAGCTCACGAGCGATCCCGCACCATGTCGCTACCAGTTCGCATCTTGAACACTGAGCAGATCATCTAGTGGCGCTGAACGTCGCTACTGTAGAACTGGGGCATGCTTGAGCCGACACTACATGCAGCAGTAAGTGTGCGCATAGCGTGAGGATTACAATACCTAGGCCGTTCCGAAAGGCACTCTGTGAGTCCGTGGTCCGACCTATTGCGTACTGCTTGAACTGACTTTGGACTGTTTGAATTCGCGAAGTTAAAGGCCTTAGCATGGTCTTGGTGAGCGAAGGGCGGACCAAACTGCCTCGATCGGAGAGCTCGTCGGCGTACGCCTTCAGTCCTCTATGTTGAAGAAACCCGAACTTGAAGCGCGTTCGGGAATACTCATCTGTAATCTGCATCAGCTGTTTCGGTGCGATTAGATCTACCCATGGCCTGACCAGTGAAGTCAGGCCAGGACGGGGACTTTCCCAAGTGGAGTATCGGATACGCACCATTCACGAATCGAGCATCGTTGACCTCGTACGTCCATCCTCTTACACATCGAGACGACGAGATCCTGACAAAGCCCACGGCCAGAACCGGCTACCAACTCGCGTGCGAGCGGTACTGCGTACTCCCTGAGAACATTCGGCCATCTCGGAAACGCCACAGGCCGCCGGGCCAAGAAGCGTAACCCGGCATTCCAATGACGCCTCGCAGATCTTTGCTCTCCTTGCCCAACTTCGGCTAACGACAATACGCCGCCGGTCATCTCGGCGACGCCTAACGCCACAAGACGGTCCAGCTACTCATCTTGGCTGTACACGAACCCGCGGGCCGAGCGGCATGGATGATGCGGGGGTCTCCGATTTGTACGCATCACATCGAGAACCCGGCCTTTTCAACTGAGCCATATGTGGAACGGAGGACGAGGTAGCTTTGAACTTTCCGCTTCTTTCTAAGCTCTTTCTATGTCTGCTCACTCTAGACACAGCAGGTTAATCTCGATGACGAGGGCGCAGAGTTGCAAGTTGGAAAAGACGACGCCTCCCGCGGAGATGAATGACACTTTCTATGGCAAGCGCAGGAAGATACCGATTGTGGAGAACGGCGATCTTCGGTTCGGCATCCACCGTCGCACGGTGAAGTTCGTCCAAGTGGCCTTCTCGAGCTGCGTTCTATATGCCCATAAGAGGACGAGCTTCTGAGATCGTCGGCCAGGTTAGGGAGGAGAAACCCTTTTGTATACGGCGTGTTCGATGTGCCTTGGTGTAGGCAGAGGCATGAGCCGACTCGTGGATTGTATCGAAGTCTCCCGATGAGCGAGTTGTAGTAAGCACCTTATGGTCCGACCGTCTTCAGAGTTCAAACTTATCTAGTTCTAGCAGCCGTGGTATGTATGATCGCGCCGCAGATGGGGTCGTCTGTAGCGAGCAACGATACACCACACTTGTACGAACTCGGACGTCTTGGACACGCCACAGGAGAAGTTGAGAAGGATCCTGTATCCATGGATGGACACAGGGGCTTGCGCAAGCCGGAGAAGAAGGTGCTAGGGCCGGTCACCGGGCAGCACGTCAAAGGCAGGTACAAGTGCGGTCTTTGGCAACGAGCACGTAGTTGATTCCCTGATAGGCCTCAGCAGATCAGAAACAGCTCTAGCAAATGCAGACAATGGATGGTAGCCGACTATATCGTCAATGGTAAGATGCAGAGCCCCTCTTCCTGTCAATTCCGAGATCTCATGAGATGCGTAGCTCGCGTGCGACGAGACTCGACATCGACAGCTCGTAGATCCTTTGCGTTGAACGCCGTTCTCTAGGCCTCGCACCCTGGACCTATGGCCGCCGCTTGCTTCACATGTCGATCGCGACAATCGGCGACGAAGCAGGCCACAATCTCGATGCACACGACACCTAGGCATTTTCTTGCCAATTTTGTTCCTCGGGCCCCGCGGGTGGCATCACATCGAGTTCGCCGTCAAGCGCCTTCTTCAGTGACAACGAGGCCGTCGTTACCAAAACATACTTGGTATAGCCATACGTGAGCGCTTCTACTCGTCTAACCATACCTCGTTCCGTTCATCTTACAAGTGGTACAGATGACTAACTCGCAACAGGAGAACAACGCCCGCGGGAATGGCATCCGACGCCCGCGGACATGCTACTCGGCATTGTGTCTATGACGGTGAGGCTGTATCCTGTGGCGTCTCCTAGCGCGTACGCTCATCCCTCGAATTCATTTCCGGTCAATAGATGCCATCTTGGGCTTTGTAGGGTGTCCCAGACGCGTCAACTACGGTTTGGCCGCTGGCGAGAGAAGACGTTCGAAACTGTTGAGGTCTGGACGCATATGGTGTGACAGCGTGTGTATGGCTCGGCGGCCTGTATCTGATTATCTAACCTGTATGGACAGTGCCAAGCTTCTCCGTCTGTCATGCCAACCCCACTTCTTTGAACATCATACGCCACAGAGTCAAGCTTCGGGGTGTCACTGCAAATAATCGAGGGTTGACAGAGGCGCGTCCAATCTTCGTGACCCTGGCGGTGTACGTTCGATGAGCATCAACCCTACCGAAAGTAACGCGCATGGTTTCCTTTGCGATGCTACGCATCCCGCAGCCGTCAATCATTCACATAAGGTCATGGAATGAACAGGCAGATACAGGCATTTAAAGAAGACGAAGACAGCGCCAATGGAAGGACGCGATGCATGAAGATTTTCAGTTGACAGTCACATTCAGTTCTGGCTGTCTTTCTTGCAAGAGTCGACGATGATCGAAGGCCTTCAGTCAGGTAGATATGAGAGCTTCGGGTCCTCCCTCTTTGGACTTGTGGCGCTGTTGCACGTACCCGAACCTGATCCTCGCCGAAATGTTACGCTTCGTAGTGAGACCAGGTCATGGACTTTCCAAGCCAAACTGGTTTACTGCAAACGGTCTTCTCTTGGCGGTACAGGGAGCATCGGTCACACGACGTCCAATACACCGAACGGTGATATGATCTCGAAACCGTTCGGGGCCACTCCTCGCGAGTCGCCTAATGCCGTTCGTCAAGAAAACTACCTGTGACCTGGCGCACGTTACTCGACACAGTAGTTGAGGGCTTCTATGACAAGAGGAGAATGGGAGGCACGCGAGCCCATTGAGCACCTGCATGATTCAACAAGTTATTATCGAGGACATGCGCGTACTGAGTGCAGATCTCAGCTGTGCGCAAAGCTCATACTAGCCAGATAGGCTTCTGAGCTCGCTATGGCTCCCGTCTTATGCTGATGGCTGGCGGCTACACTGGTCACCGTAGCCGGCGATGACGCGTTCGTGGGCATGCGACGAGAACGGAACATCGCGACGTCTCGGGTTAGGGTTAGCATACAGACGCGCCGTGCCCACTGCCGCGCGTCCACTGGTGCGGCGAGAGTCGGGACCTCATTTAGTTCCCTTTATCGTTTGTTGAGTGTCTTGTGTACCTCATCGCACACCATAGTAGATGTTCGTTGGATGCGTAAAGGCAGAGGCGGCAAGAGCTCACGCGGAGGCATCTATTTCAGGTAGGGTTCGAGCAGAATTAAAGCATAACTAGTCTCGAGTTAAACGCGTCTTCCGACTCGAGGTGCGGCATCTTTTGCTACGAGTAGGACATCACGCATAGTGTAGACAACACCTACGTGCAATGGTCTGAGCTGTGTATATGGTGCAAATCAGATCAAGTCGGTTGTGTATGGCATCGCTGATCGCGAAGAAGGGTTTCATTCATTCCGACCCAACGACGAACACTATCAGTAAAACCGTTCTCAGAGTTGTTGCGACATAGGCAGAGATGGATATCCGCCGACAACGGCGCTCTTACGCGTACGCGTGCAATAGGATACTCGGATATCATGAGACACTGTAGGGCTCTGAGAACTTCGGTCGAGGGAAAGAAAGCCTGAGCGGTGAGCGTGAACTTCAGCCAATTGACCGCTCACATGGAGCCCTCACAAGGTTTCACTCCAGTCATTGAGAAAGCTGACAGGCCATTCGATGTCCCTGAGATCTGGCGGTCACCTCACTCACTGATCACAATGGACTCAATGGAATGTAGGACGAAACACGGGTCAGGTCTGAGAAGCTGTGGTGATGAGATGGTACACGTGCGCCGAACGTTGCCGGTGTGATGTTCTCGGACCATGAATTGGAGAAGATCAAAGGTTATATCATGATTTCGCAAACAAAAAGGAGCCAGGTAAAGAAGTAGACACGTATACAAAGGAGAGATGAAAAGAGAGGGACATTGTTCAACCGAGCAACACCGAGTTCTTCAGGCATGGACGTTCGCAACCGATGTACAAGTGCAAACGAAATCCCCATCAGACTCGGAATTAGTGATCCGCCACGGCTAAGACTTGAGAGTAATTGCAGCCGGTACTGCTCAGAGGATGAGCAGGACCTTGAGGCACGCCGTGAACTTGAGGCCGACGAGGAGCTGGACGACGCCGCCGAGGAGACCAACAAGGAGACCGATGACAACAGTGAGGAGACCGCCGACGAGCTTGAGGACAATGGTCAAGAGCGCAGCGAGAACAACGCTGAGCGTCTATTAACTTCCACTCGCATGCGGAAGAATAGCGCGGACTTACTCAAGGAGCTGGAGGATGACGAGGATGTCGACCTTGTCCGTGCAGACACTGTAGCACTTGTTGCAAGCCGAGATGACCAGCTATAGAAGCATGTCAGAAGTCGTACAAAACGATAGTGGTAAACGCTCATACGTTGATAGTGATCGAGATCAAAACGAGGATGTTGCCGGAGCCGACTCCAGAGGCTTTGCCGCACGCCGCGGTGGCAGCCTCGATGATCACCTTGATGCTGAGAACGATCTCGTTCACCTTGGCCGGCGTCGCGGTCTCAGCCGTAAGGCTGCCTGCCACCTTGTCAGCGCACATAATCATCAAACCGCAAGACAACCAGGCTTACTGAGCTGAGTGGTCGGAGCCTGGAGCTGGCTGTTCAAGTTGGTGAGGATCGTAGTGACGTCCTGGGTCGCCTCGGCGTCGCGGGCCACGAGAGCACCGGCCTCGGCGATGGGGAGGGGAGCAGGAGCGGGGATGGCCGACGCGAGGGTGCCGAACGCGAGGGCGGCGAAGGTAGCGATCTTCATGAAGGAGAACATGGCGACTTGGAGAGGAGCAGGGGAAAGCCTGTGAGGACTGAGGTGCGGTGGTGTAGCTCGGGAAGACCTGGGCTGAGGATTGAGGGTCGTTGTGGTGAAGCTTATATACCTCCTCACCGGCTGCACTTCCTCGGTAGAGGTAAGAGTGTGCAGACTTGAGCTCGGTAGAGGTCGAGTCCCAGACTGTCAAGTCGAGTCCCAGACTGTCAAGTCGAGTCCAAGGCGAGATGCACCGCTGCGCCAATCACGACGTCAGAAACATCGTGCCTGCCTGTTGGGCGTCCATTGTGAGGAGATCAAAGCAGGTGACCGCGTCGTGGGTGAGTTGGTCGTACTTCTTGGCGGGCCGACTTGCCGGTTAATCTCTCCTCCAACTGGAGAGAAATAGGCTATATATTAGCATTTAGCTTCATTCGTCCATCAGAGGATCTCGAGACGCGTCCGAGAGCACCGCACGTTCCGGCATTTACAACATGAAACAAACGCATGTACCGGTTGTGCCGATGGATCATGAGCGCATGGGAGTTGCATTGTATTGAAAAGCCGAAAGAAGCCAGAAGTACGCTCTTGACGAAGACTCGCGAGACGATCTCTACCATCCTTGCGTCAAGGTCATCTGAGTTTTTGACGCAGTACGCGGTGTCGATACAGATCTGGAGTACACGGCACAGTTGAGGCTTTCGGGGTAACCTAGTCCTTTCTCTTTCAGATACCGAACTAGATTCTTGGCAGGCATGTACTGGAAAATACTCACAGAATATGGTTGATGGTCAGCATCCTCGCGATCTATGGCCATGCGTCCAAGTGTACCGCTAGATGAAGCCGAAGAGCGTGTCAGCCCCAGAATGCTTTGCGGCGAGACCGCTTCGATTGCGAAGCGCAGAAGCATTGCGGCAGAAGCTTGGGCTGTGTGATATGACCCGTCATCCGAGTGCAGTCTTCGGAGACAGGCGCTTGCGAGCTTTCGGCCTTACGGCCTCGTAAGACTTTGCCCTGTCGAAGTCCGATTGTACCTCGCAGGTATTCTCAAGTACAAATATGCGAGCCATCATCCACGCTCGTCTATGGCGGATTAACTTTCGGAGATTCTGAACATTACAGGTTAGATATCTTTGCAAGTAACGTGATAGCGTTGCTAAGTACCCAGGGAGTTTGGGGGCAAGGGCATTGCGAAGTTCCGAGAGCGCGGGGAGGTGAGCTGAGGGCATCTGGGAGCTCTGAGGGGTTTCTGTCAAACTTCGACCTATGAATTGTTAATCTCCGCTTAAACCGCGATGATTACGCGTACCATGAATGCCAGGTACACTCTGGCAGTGGATAATGACGAGTCTGGGCGCTCACATCGTCTAGCTTGCGGCGGGATATTGATGTTCGGGACCGCGAACGCGTACTACCCATGAGCTCATGAGAGCATGCTCTATGAAGAGGTAATGTTCGGTACGTACCGAGCACCGCCCACTACGTCAAGGCGTGATGGCTCAATTCACGCCCGACTGAGTGTCGCTATTAGCTTAAATAAGTTCCCCATGTCACTTTGAGACCCTTTTGAATATGTAAGAATGATCGCCCACAAACCGTTGAACGATGTACGTTGTGATTTCTGACGGGAGAAACAGATGAAAGGGCTTTGCGAGATACTCGATCTTCGCCGTGTATAGCCGGGGAACATAACCCCGACAGCTCCTCAGGGCAGGGGTGGTACAGGCATTTCATTTCCTCCAAACACAAGGCCTAGCTGATTTCATTTTCTTTGTCGCCTTCGCGATGACGAACTCGATGACGGCGAAAATACGTTCTAAATATTCCCGAGGTCAGTCATATTGTCTGGCGCAGCTATTTGGGAAGCTGCGAGGGCCTACGGAGCGCTTGCCTTCAGGCTGCTGCGTTCGGTATAGTGCAAGGGGCCTCCATCTCTGCTTCCTACTTGCAAAGGACTGTATTCAGACACACAAGGATTGGATGAGGGATTCCGGCATACCTTTCAGGTCAAGTCCACAAGGTCCAGCGGAAAGACTGCAGGGCCTGGAGCCGAGGAGCAGGTAGCATGGAGCCAGATAGCTGGAATACGGTGCTGGGAGAGCCGACTGCCGCATTAGTGGGAAACGCGCCTCGCGGTTGAAAGTTTATCTGAGCTTCGAGAGTTAACGCACAATAGTAATAGTGCATCCACTTTGGATCTTATCGGGTGAATGGGCAGGTCTACCGCTGACTCGCGAATAACGCCGCCGCCGCCGGGATCAACGAGGCTTGAACTCGAGATGGAACCGTAAACTCCGGCATTGAGGATGCGCCCGCGCTAGAACTTGATCCCGAAGAGACAGAAAAGGAGAACAGGCTGATGTTCAAGGCCGAATCGGGGCTGGTACTGAATACACTCCTGCCAGTGTAGGTGTTAGCTGGGCAGGAATAGGAAGGGCGTTGTCAGAGACGGTGGCCGAGATGCCCGCCCGGCTTACAATATCAGGAATATCACTGCGAATTCAAATCCTTGGTCCGCCGTCGACGGGTGAAGTTTGCTAAGTATTCAGGTCTGTCAGGAAGGATTGGTATATCCATGGACAGCCCGCGTCAGATGTCTGTGGAGCATCAGTCTTTGAACCTTCAGCGCGTGTTCATATAGATTTCAGGATAGATCGTCGGAGACGAAAAGAACGCGACGCGCGCGAAAGTCGTGTTTAGGGCGGCGATGAATACGCGAGTGGCGGCGACGGTCCATCGAACTTGTGCGGTGCGACGGACTCGAAACGATGAAAGATTGATTCTGAGCGCTGACAGGGCGTTCGAGTGGAGTGGAAAAGAGAAGCCGTAAGTAGTGCCTGGCACAAGCCCAGCTCAAGAGCGCGAGGGAGTGAAGTTCAAGGTGTTTGCAACATCGAGACGGAACAGCACCAAGTCACGTAGGCGTTACAACCTCGGGATGATAACTCTTGGCGCTTCAAGGTACGATAGCACCGAAAGCATGCTGGCCAGCCAGCCCATCGAACAGCGACATGGAGGTCGAAGACAAACTCGACGCGGCGCCCGACTCGAGAGGACCGCTGGGGCAATGCGCGCCTACATGCGCCTACACTCATAGCCTAGGGTTGCGGCACCGAGCTGTCAAGTTGCAGTCGTCGCCGCGGTTGCGGCGTGTGTGAGCAACTCAACCTACGCCCACCACCATCGTGTGTGCAGCTCCGCGGCGTGAACAAGCTTCTGAATCTGTGCTTCTCCTCGGGCGCTCCGTCAGATAAACGGTTTCTGGACGAGATTCATGGCCACGTCAGGACGCCACTGAGAAGGCCTTCATCACCATGACTTTGACCATCTTCTGCTCTCTCGTTCACAACCCTTTCCTTGCGTCAGTCGCGTCTGATAGCCACTGAACAGTTGTACCCCGACGCGGTCGCAAATCCGACTACATGTTGGCGGCTAGGTTATGCCGACCATTGCTCGAAGGAGTTGGCTACAGCGGATCGTGTGACCGATGGCATCTGCAAGTTTCGTCTTGGCAAACTATTCTACACAAAGAATACTCAAAGAACATGGGTACGGATTCTCTAGCAAGATATCGAATTGGGACAGGCATCTTAAGTCAGCGACGGGGACCTGCAGCCCTCGCTGTCCAAAAACGAACCCGAGGATATCAACCAGGATGTACGGAGATCCGCCCGAGCTGCTCGCATCGTACGCCGACACGATCTTCGTTGCGCGCTCTCACAAGCTGTACAGATCTCTGCATTCACGCCTTGTTGTCCGATCTGCTCGTCGCGCACCGAGAAGCAGGTGAACTTCGCTGTCAAGCAAGCTCAACCGCGCGGCAATGACACGATTCATGCATACCGCGCTCTGATGTACTCACACACAATGGAATTTCATTTACATGGCCGGACTAGACCGTGTAAGCGCCCTGACGTCGTGCGGGTCACGTACAGCGCCCATGATGTTGGACTTGCCTCGTGCGTGTTGAAATCCTTGCTGGGCGGTTTCGGAAAGGACCGCCGTAACGAGTTCTCGAGTTTTCGGCCTGCGTGACGCTTTCGATTTCATGACGCACGTCAACTCTTTTGGTATATCGAGGATCTATTGAGGTGTATATATACTTCACTGCAACAGCCCTCATTCCTCAGCCCCAGGGTTACCGAGCTTCAGCAACCGCACCTCAGTCTTCACAGACTTTCCCCTGCTCCTCTCCAAGTCGCCATGTTCTCCTTCATGAAGATCGCTACCTTCGCCGCCCTCGCGTTCGGCACCCTCGCGTCGGCCATCCCCGCTCCTGCTCCTCTCCCCGTCGCCGAGGCCGGCGCCCTTGTGCCCCGCGCAGCTGAGGCCCAGGACGTCACGACGATCCTCACCGACTTGAACAACAACCTCAAGGCCCCCACCACGGAGCTCAGTAAGCCTACTTCACTAGCTGCCCCGACGGCACTGATCAGTTGACAGGCGGCCTCACGGCGGACAATGCCACGCCGGATAACGTGAACGTGATCGTGCTGAAGATCAAGGTGCTCATCGAGGCTGCCACTGAGGCATGTGGCGGCGCTTCTGGTCTTGGCTCTGGCAATATCCTTCTTCTTCTCTCCATCTCTATCAACGTACGCGGTTTCAGTATATCTACGTCTGTTGCTCCTGACTCACAAGGATCATAGCTCGTCATCTCGGCCTGCAATACGTGCTACAGTGTCTGCACCGACAAGGCCGGTGTTCTCGTCGTGATAAAGATCCTCGAGTAAGCCCCCCTTCTCCCCTGACTACCCTGCCGTGCATTGATGAATCTAATAGCTCCGTTCTCGCGGCGCTCCTCACGATCGTCCTCAAGCTTGTCGGTGGTCTTTTGGTCACGGTTATTGGTCTCCTCGTCGGTCTCCTCGGAGGAGTCGTGGAGATCATCCTCTCGCTCAACTTCACCGCTTGTGCGAAGGTCTTGCTCCTCCTTTAAACGCCTATGATGAGGCATGGCCGACGTGATCATCCATTTTCGGGTCTAGAATAGCATGTACACGCGCCTGGGGCTGAGGTTGCGGACTCGTGCATGACGGACTCGTGATGTACCGGCCATGGACAATCTTTCCTTCCCTTTCCAATCTCTCTCTCTTTCCTTGTATCTCATGTCACGACTGGTGTCTCTCCGAGTTTGTTCGACTTAAATACTTGTTTTCGAAATGAAGCTTCTGTTCAATCTCTCACTCGTTCGACGTAAAGCCTCGCAAGGCAATCCACAAGGCAAATGCGAACATAATACCGGACTTAATATCTCCATATGAGCGCGCCCGTAATAGGGTCTGCAGGCACCGAGCGCCCTATCCGCGAGTCTGGGTCACTTGATGGTCATGATCCACGGCGCCTGAGCGCGACAAGTACAGCGTCACAGTCTGACAGCGGTTGTGTAGGATGGAAAGGCTAAAAGCCCGGTTACCCGACGCCGCGGTGGCGTGTACAGGTTTGTTTTTGGAATAAACGTCGGAGGTAACTTGACATCGGGACGTAAAGGCTCGCAACCGGGTATGCACTTTGAATAAGGCGGGTATGAGAGCGGGAGACTGCATGGGTACAGAGAAGTACAAGGGGTCTCCCGAGGAGAGCCGTCCGTGACTTCCCACATAGCAAACCCTCGCGCGTCCAATTGCGTACATGCATCGACATCTCGCCGGGATTGATGCATAAGCACGAACGGCCGTTGGCTGGATCCGAAGCGCCAGGTACTATGGACAAAGGCGCTTACCGCAAGCGCTGCTCAGGTCTGCTGCAAGCGCTGAACAAGTTTAACAGCCGGTGATATCGCATATATGGTCGTTGACCGCGTCTTGGGCGTTCTGGGAGAAACCAGGGCAAAGATTGTATTGGTCGGCTAAACCGTCGGTCCTCAAGATGGCTACTGTATGGAGTGTCGGCTCGAGACCGTCTTCGAGATGGCCAGTGTGAGCAGAGCCGCCATTGGTTACCAGTATGCGAGGCCTGCGCGCTCGATGGTCGTGGTGCTCCATTGGCTGGACGCAGTGAGATCTTCCTCTACCGATCTAGACGGGGATCTAACATCACCGAAAGCATCGTTCACAGAGATGAGCCGCGGATGGTGTACAGGTTGTGATGATGGGCTCCTGAATGAAGGAGACATGTAGGTGCATCTCACTCCGAAAGCGTCGATTGCAGTACGAAGTTCTTCTTCCGCGCCGCCCTGACCGAACGCGTCTCTGGCGACGACGCACCGGCAGGAGCTGAAAGGATCACCGATGTCACGGCACCGTACTGGTCTTTCAGCTCATATCGAGAGGAACCCAACCGCATCGCCGTTCTCAACAAGGTATCTGGGAGCCATCGTCACATTGAGAGCACATTTGGGATGGTGTACATGAAAGCACGAAGCTACACGGCGATTGTGAAGCCGCGGCAAAAAGCTTCCCACGTTGGCGATCCCGTAGGTGTTTGGTCAGCTCCCGGCATGGACCTCCAGCACAAAGGGCTAGCGCGATAGGTTAACTTCAGAGTTGACCGCTGGATGAAGTGATTGACCACTAGGTACCTGCGGGTGCACTGGTCTAGGTTCTCGAGCGCCTTGGCCTTCGGTTCCTCGGGCTCGCAAGCATAGACGCCGAACCAACCCGCTCGCGTACGTTGAAGATAGTCTACGGCGTCTCAGCTTGACAGCTCCAACGAATAGCTTGCCAGTACGGACCGAAACGAGACTTTGAGATCGGAGAGTGGCTTTATCGTCGGGAAAGACTCATTCAAGCTCAACTCATTGAGGATGCCGAGGGTGACGACGACCAAGTCCTAGTCCGGTACATAGTCCTGTACGTTTTGTTAGCCAACTCTAGCCTAGTAATGTCATTATTATAGAGGAGCGATGTACCTGAGGTCCCGTCGTGAGCCGCAAACGCATGGAGCTAGCGTATTGGATCAAGTTCAGTGTTAACTTGAGGATGAAGTGATTGACCATTGGAGATCTAGCATGTACATGCTAGGTCCAGACGCCGTCGCTGTCGATCCCTCGGAAATGAAAGCGCATACGCTAACACTAACATCTGCAAGTGCGCTAGCTCACGAGGGGGAAGCTGAGCTCGACAACCCGAGCGCATGTATGCCCAGTGGCACAACACAGCGTGGAATGGTGTGAATGTCATCGATATGGCTCGACTTCGATAACCACATCCTCTAAGGAGAGGTACCCGCACAACGGCATGCGTAGGACCATCGCACAGTCGGAGCATAGGTCAGTCGGACCGGTAAGCGCTGGGCAAGCACAGGACCGCTCCAGAGTGAGGTCGTTTCGCGAGGACGCGTAGGCGTCTCGAGTTGACAGCTTGAGGGTACCACTTGTCCGTACGGTCCGATACGAGAGTTGTAAGGCAAAAGTGAGGGTCCTCGGCATAGCTTCAATCAAGCTCAACTCGTCGAGTACGCCGGGGACGACGGGATCCAAGTATAGATCAACTGCGTTAGCCACAGTCAGTCGAGAGCAACCCAGACGAAACGCGACGCACCTTACACCTCCCCATACCCAAACCATCACTCGGAAGGGTTAGAGTAAGAAACGAGACCGAATAATAATATTGTTGCAGATTCAGATTACCATAGAACTATACCAGCAAGCCATGATTTGTATGTAGACGATCGAGAACGAGAGCACCTCCACCGTGACCGTGATAGACTATTCCACCCCATCGCGGTACCACTATATGCCGAGAACAAAGGAAGAAAGATGCGAGCAGAGGGATGATAGACGTATGAAGAGAAGACGATGCAAGTAGGGAGTGAAAGCGTAGGTATAACGATGTTCATGATTGATTGGTTATGCAGTGTGCGAATAATTGAAAATGGAGAACGATAGCGCTATGGTATCCCCATCCAAGGACATCCCAAAAATAATCAAGTTCAAGACCAACCCCGACGAAGAAGAGACCCAAAAGACGTCGACCAATTCACAGCCCCCTCCCCGCGACCTGCGCAAAACTCGCCCTCCTCCCCTCCCCCTTAGACCCCACATCCAACGCCCTTGCATGACTCTCGCTCCCAGTCCTGATGCCCCCCTTCCCCATCCCCACGCCCACCCCCGGGACCTCATCCCCCGGCGACGTATCAACCCCAAACGGGCTCTCCTCGTACGCCCGTCCCCCAAGCGACATCCTCTCCAACAATCCCCCCACGCCCGCCGTCTCGCGTTCTTCCGCGGAAGAACGCGGCTGCGCGGGCGCCGCGGCATCGTTGTTCGCGCGCAGGATCTGGCCCGCGATGGACGTAGGCGGCGGCGCGCCCGTGAAATAATCCGGCTCGCCCGCCGGCGGCGCGCCCGCGAAATAATCCTGCGGCTCCCCTCCTGCCGCCCCACCGCCCACAGCAACGCCTTGCCCATCGTTCGACCCGTTCCTCACGGGCGCACCAGGCGCCGCCTCCCACCCCTGCCCGCCCCTCACCGGCCGCCCAAAGAACGCCCCCGGGCTCATCGCGACGCCCGGACTAAACATCGCATGCGGCACCATCTGCGGCGGCGGGCTCTGCATCGCGCCCCCTCCCCCTGCCCCTCCCGCTTGCAGATGCGGATGGAACTGGAATGAGGGCATGGACGGCGTCATGGGCGGGAGCCCGTGCGGCGTCATGAGCATGCCGCCGTTGTACATCCCCATGAGGTGCTGCGCGTACGCGGGGTGGTGCATGGGACTGCCGTGCATCATCGGCACGGGCGTGTGCGCGGCGTGCATGGGCGAGGGCGGGACCATCATGGGGTGGTGTAGGGGTGAGGGGACGAGGCCGGGGATCATGTATGGTACCATGTACGGCGAGGCGGGCGACATGTGCGGCGGGGGCACGGTCGCGAATGCGCTTTGTGGAGGCAAAGAGATGGGGCCCGGGTGCGGGCCGTTCGTTTTGGTCGACGAGCGGGGGGAGAGTTTGGGCGGCTGGGCGGTTTGGGGCGATTGGGAGGTCGCTTCGAGCGGGCTCCGCGAAGATGTCGATGCGACTCTTTGCCTTGATTCACCGGCAGTGGGAGGCGACACGGACGAGTTCAACAGGTCTCTCAATCCCGCGTACCCCAGATTCGTAGGCTGCGGCTGCACGGGCACAGTATCCATCAACGGACTGGCGCCCGTGCCCGAACTGCTCGGCGGCGTCGGCAACTCGCTCTTCTGGCCCATCGACCCGATCGTGCTCGTCTGTCCGCTTCCGACCAGACCATTGATCTGCGGTATAGCACCCGTCGACCGTGCGTGCAAAGGCGGAGGCGCCATGGCAGACGTAGGCGAATCATAAGCATTCCCACGCTGCTGTACCGAGGAAGATTGGGAGAACGATAGCGAGTGGCCGTGCGCGGGCCGTAAGCCAGGCATAGACCTGGCCGCTTGTGCGAGCGGAATAGACGCCAGCCGCGCTTCAAGCGAGCGCGGGTTCGGCGCCTCGCCCCCCGTCGTGGGCCTGAAACTCTGCTGCTGCGCCTGCTGCATGCTCGACGACGACGACGTCGACCTGAACGCATTGAGCGCCGCAGATGACGACGACGGTCTAAACGCGGAATTGCCCGACGACGACGTCGGCCTGAACGCGTTCACGTTGCGCGCTTGAGCCTGGGACGAGGAGGACATGGGCCTGAACGCGCTCGTGCCGTCCTCGTACGGGTCGTGCGTCGAAGCGCCCAGGCCGTCATACATGAACGCGAAGTCAGGGTCGAACTCTGCTTGGGCGCCCGCGCCGGCGCTCATCTGTCTCAGGCCCAGCAGCCGCGACGCGAGCGCTGCGTTGCTCTCCGTAATCGGGCTGTTCGAGAGCGGACTGAGAGGCTGGCTCGACAAGCCGTGTGCAGAACTGAGAAGACTTCGTGCGGCCGATGATCCCGCCGCGGCATTCAGAGCAGCATACGATGCGAGCGCCGCGTTTGGCATAGGCGAAGACGGCAGCATCGGCGAGCCCGTCAACGGATTATGCGGTGTAAACTTGTCGTAGTGCACTTTGAGCGCCCGCCCGTTATACTCGTAGCTGCATATACACAGTTTATCCGTCAGTGCTCCGTCTCGAGGGTGGTGAAAAGCGAAGCGAAGCTTACCCGTTGAATACGCGTACCGCGCGCTCGGCGTCCGATTCGGTCGCATAGACCACCGTTCCAAAGCCGCGGGAGCGGCCGTCTGCGCCGAGGGCGACGTCGGCACGGAGGATGGTGCCGGCCTGGCGGAAGAGATCTTTGAGGTCCTGCCACTGGACGTGGAATGGAAGCTGGATGGCGGCGTGAGTCGAGGTACAAGCGATCAAAAAGAAGCAGGCGCTCACGTTCCCTACGAAGAGTGTTTTGGATACCAATCGGTCGTGGCCGAACAGGGAGGGAGATGGGTTTGCCGAAAGCGATTGGCCGAGGGCGGCTGCGAGGTGCTCGTCCAGGGCTGCGGTGGATTGGGGGAAGGGCGGGCGGGGACTGAGGGATCCTGTTCCTGGGCGGGAGGAGGTGATGGGATGGGGCATGTTCATTGGCGGAGGGGCGAGTGTGGCCTGCACGGGAGGCGGAGGGGGCGGGTACGGCACCGGCATCTGGTACTGCTGCTCGTGCTGCTGCAGCTCTGACGGCAATCTGTCCAGTCTGACTTCGAGCACGCGCGTCTGCCACGAGTATCCGTTGAACATGTCCACCGCGCGCCCCGCATCCTCCGCAGTGGCGAGCAGGACAGTGCCATAGCCACGCGACCGGTTGTCCGGGCCCAGCGCGACGTCAGCTCTGAGTACTGTGCCGGCCTTGCGGAATAGATCCTTCAGATCCTGCCAGCGCACTCGGTACGGGAGCTGTAACGGCCCATCAGTACACTGCGAGCACGGGGCACAGTCCAGCTACGCACATTCCCGACAAACAGCTGCGTCCTGGTGTCCTTGAGCGGGATGATCTTCCCATCCGGCTCGGACCGCTGCGACGTCGCTGCCTGGATCACCGCCTCGACCTCCTCGCTCGTAGGATTCAACACGGCCGGCCTCTGCTGCTGCTTCTGCTCCTCCTGCGGCTCTGACGGCGAGGCGGCTGGCGTGGGCGTTGGCGGCTTGTCCGGTGCAGATTCCGCCATTATAGTCAGGAGATGGTAGTCGCGGACAGACCGGGCTCGAGGACTTGTATCCGGACGGCGGGCATGGCCAGGTGGAGCGCGACCGCGAATTGGGGTCGGAACTCTCGACGCGCGGATACGTCACGGCCTGCTCTGCAAGAGTCCCCATCACCCCGCAGCCGCCTTCGCCACCCCCGTCCCTGCGCAACGGACGCGAATTAAACTCCACCTTTCCGTCTCCGGGCCCCGCTGCTGTTGCGATCGCTATGGGCACGTTGTCCGAGACATTACCGAGGGCGGGTGTGGATTGCTATGGATCCTTGCGGGCAGTTGAGTACGGTTGTGTGTTGGTCTGCGCGTCATGGGCAAGGGAATACAAGCGTGTGTGTATAGTCTGTACGGTACAAGATCGTTCGTCATCGTCAATCACTTCCCCGACGTCCTTCCCCCAATCCGCCTGTCTATCGTACTTTACGTTCTCCCCGATCCTCCTGTGAGCCTATGACGACGTCCAAAGCAACTCGAATGCTTCTCATCATCTCCGGGGCACATGCCTCGATCAACGGACGTCCGGCCGGGGATCATCAAAACCCGCGGGCGTCCCAATTCGCACTTGCTCGCGACGGCGGGGGGCAGGATGTGGAAGGCACTTCGCCCCCTTCGGGGTGGCATACGAAAAAATTGGAACGATACAGAGAAGATTAGCATGGCCCCTGCACAAGGATGACACGCTTCTCCAGAGTGGTAGACCTACGGGTCTCAATATTTATTTTGCTTCTTATTTCCTTTCACGCTATCAGGCTATTATTGGTTTAGCAGATCATTCGATGAAATATGCATGTATGCATTGCGATAGATTATATGAACATAGTGATGCGAAGGGTATAGGACTAAAGCCAGTAGCGCCAGCGCTACCAAACTCGTCGGGTATCATCGAAATTATCCAAGTACTACAGTCCTTCAGAAAGGAAAGCCCGCAGGCAACCCAACAGTACTGTTCTGTGCGCCCTTCGTAACAGTGAACCCGAACGGCAGAGTGCCCTCAACAGGCAGCTGGTTGGGCAGAGTAAAGTTGAACTGCCGCGCCTCAACACCGTCATCATCGCGCTTGAACGGGAAACCCTCAGGGAGACCGACGGTGCTGTTTTGCGCGCCGGGCGTGACGGTCAAGCCAAAAGGGAGGGTGCCGGCGACAGGCAGTTGGTTGGGTAGGGTGAAGTTGAACTGCCGCGCCTCAACACCGTCTTCACGCTTGAACGGGAAGCCCGACGATAATCCGATAGTGCTGTTTTGCACGCCCTGCGAGACGGTCAAGCCGAAGGGCAGTGTACCCTCGACGGGGAGCTGGTTGGGCAGGGTGAAGTTGAACTGGCGCTTGAATGGGAAGCCTGCGGGAAGGCCGAGGGTGCTGTTCTGCGTTCCCTGGGTAACGGTGAGGCCGAAGGGGAGAGTGCCCTCCACAGGAAGCTGGTTTGGTAGGGTGAAGTTGAACTGGCGAGCCTCAACGCCGCGCTTGAACGGAAAGCCTGAGGGAAGGCCAACGGTGCTGTTCTGCATGCCCTGAGTGACGGTGAGGCCGAATGGGAGGGTACCCTCGACGGGGAGTTGGTTGGGTAGGGTGGAGTTGAACTGCCTCGCTTCAACACCCTCCTCGCGCTTGAAGCCAAACGCGCCAAAGAGCGTCGAGTTGTTGCTGCCCGTGACGATGCTGCCCGAGGGCGTCTGGGGCGTAACGGTGATGCCGTTCGGGAATGCGCCGCTGACGGGGATGGTGTTGGGGATGTTGACTGAGAACTGGGGCGCCCGTGCTGCCAGAGCCGGGGTCGCGTCGTTGCGCTTCATCCTGTATTGATGTCAGTACCGAGTCACGTAGAGGAAGGGAAGTAGCCTACGGTGCGGGAACAGCTTCAACAGCGACGCCAACGGCGAGGAAGACGAGAGTGTAGAAACGAGTAGAGAACATGGTTTGTAGAAGTTGAAGAAGAGTAGTTGTGGAGTAGAAGTGTAGAAGTGTGGATGATAGAGATATGAGTAGGTACACGGTAGCTTATATAGTCAGCAGTGTAGGGGTTGAAGGCTTCCCGAGACAGAACATGAACAGGAGGTTGACTCGGAAGAGCCCCTTTAAGAGTGGCTTCCGCTCCGAGACAGTGTACGCCCGGAGGCGCGAGTCGAGAGATGAAGAAGAGTTGAAGCACTGTAGAGTTCGTCGCTCTGTATGGGACTTCGTTACGATCGTATTTAGCCCTTTCCGGATCAGCCACGACCACAAGGTTATCGAGCGTATTCGTCAATGTCAACGCGAGATCGCAAACTGTTTGCCTATGTATAGGTTCGAGATGAACATGAAGCCCAGATGGGATGTAAACCAGCTATCATATTCGGACTAGCGATGGTGGTGAAAGTCAAGGCGCGCGTCGCGTTAACTAGTCGCGCGCGTCTTGATCCTGTTCTCCCATCAGATCTCTGCCTCAAGTGCAGACATGACGCGATCTGTCGATTTGGACATCAAAGGAGTATGGGCTGCCGTCCTGGTGTCAAAGGAACAAGTCGATGGTCGCATCTCGCGGGAGTGAGGGTTATGAATCACATCGATTATAGCGAGCAGGACTAGTCTATTACATGATTACAGAAAACATGGTATACAAATACGATAGAGATGTCCAAGTCAGAGCCCATCAACCACAGCTAACACTCTACTCATCGCGCTTGAGGCCGAAAGGGAATATCGAGCCGAGCTGGCCGAACAGCGTCGAGTTCTGGTTGCCCGTGATGATGCTGCCACCACCAAGCTTGGGCGTGACGGTAAGGCCGTTACGGAAGGCACCGGAGACAGGGATGCTGTTCGGGATGTTCAGCGAGAACTGAGGCTCGCGAGCGGCGAGAGCGGGCGTGGGTAGCTGCTCGATCTCCTGCTCGATGACCTGCTCGACACCATCCTCATCGCGCTTAAGGCCGAAGGGGAAGAAGCTGCTGAGCTGACCGAGCAGGGTCGAGTTGCGGTTGCCAGTCACGATGGAGCCACCACCGAGCTTGGGCGTGACGGTCAAACCGTTACGGAAGGCGCCGCTGACGGGAATAGAGTTGGGAATGTTCAGTGAGAACTGGGGCTCGCGCGCCTCGAGGGTCTGCGTCGCCTCAACCTCCTCGCCGTCCTCGCGCTTGAAGCCGAACTGTCCGAACAGCGTCGAGTTGCGGTTGCCGGTGACGATGGAGCCTCCTCCGACCTTGGGCGTCACGGTCAAGCCGTTGCGGAATGCGCCTGAGACAGGGATGGAGTTGGGAATATTGAGCGAGAACTGGGGCTCGCGCGCCTCGAGGGTCTGCGTGGCCTCAACATCCTCCTCGCCGTCCTCGCGCTTGAAGCCGAACTGTCCGAACAGCGTCGAGTTGCGGTTACCCGTGACGATTGATCCGCCGCCAAGCTTGGGCGTCACGGTAAGACCGTTGCGGAAAGCGCCGGAGACCGGGATCGAGTTGGGAATGTTGAGCGAGAACTGGGGCTCGCGAGCCTCGAGCGTGTGCGACGCCTCGACGTCAACAATCGCTTCGACATCTCCATCACGCTTGAAGCCGAAGGGGAAGAGGCTGCTAAGCTGACCGAAAAGGGTGCTGTTCTGGTTGCCAGTGACGATGGACCCGCCGCCGACCTTGGGCGTGACAGTAAGGCCGTTGCGGAAGGCACCACTGACGGGGATGCCGTTCGGGATGTTCAGGCTGAACTGAGGCTCACGGGCCTGGAGAGCGGGAGTAGCATCCTCGCGCTTAAGACTGTAGAAGCTACGTCAGTGCTTCATCTAGTGCACTTCGGGAGAAGGGGGCTTACCCAGTAGGCGAAGCGTCCATGCCAACGGCAAGGGCGACGAGAACGGTGAGAGCAGAGGTGGAGCGCATGGCTATGAGGGAGGACGAGTGGAAATGAGGAGTAGGTATTGAGTTGAGTAGTAAGAGGTGTTGCTGTCGTTTAGAGCAGTGGGCTGGGCAGGTTATATAGCCCATAAATTACTCCTGGGCTCCTGTAACTGGCGTAAAACGACTCGGTTAGACAAGGCCTGGAGCGACGTCCTAGTACACAGCATCAAACCGGCTGGAAGGGAGCGTCTCGGATATGATGCGTGGACAAAGGGCTGGCACAGCCGCCGTGTAGAGACGAGGGGGATGTATCGGCTATGAGCTCAACCTCCCCTGATGAGCCTGACAGCAGAGCCCCTCCTGCTATATCGCGCAGGGCGCGACGCAGTTCCAGTACATATCGTGCATTCTTCTTCGTCTCATAAATATTTGTGTGATGCTATTCGATGTGGTATATCGCGGGAGATAGGAAACGAAGAGATCATGGCGGCAGGAGGAAACGAGCAACGCGTCGCCGCCGCGTCAAGACTTTCGCGCATTGACGCGTGACGTCACGCGCTGGATCCTCCGTATAAGCGCAAGTTTATTGCTTTCCCTGGGGACACGACGGACGCTCATTTAAAGTGACGAGTCCAGGTTACACCCAAGCTTCAGAGCCTTGCCTGTACGTCGCTTCCGGGCGCGACAATTCATGAGGTAGGCAATTATCGATGTTATATAGAGCAGTCTATACATTATACACAAGAAAGCTCATACAGGGTTATATCAGAGTCGGTATACAGGATTCACAGCAGTCTAATGTCCGAGCACCATCTCCAAGCAAGGGACACAATCATCTACTCGTCGCGCTTAAGGCCGAAAGGGAAGATCGAGCCAAGCTGGCCGAAAAGCGTCGAGTTCTGGTTGCCCGTGACGATGCTACCGCCGCCAAGCTTGGGTGTCACGGTCAGACCGTTGCGGAAAGCGCCGGAAACGGGGATGCTGTTCGGGATGTTGAGCGAGAACTGGGGCTCGCGCGCCTCGAGCGTCTGCGTGGCCTCAAGCTCCTCGCCGTCCTCGCGCTTGAAGCCGAACTGGCCGAAGAGCGTCGAGTTGCGGTTGCCGGTGACGATAGATCCGCCGCCAACCTTGGGCGTAACGGTCAGACCGTTGCGGAAAGCGCCGGAAACGGGAATGGAGTTGGGGATGTTGAGCGAGAACTGGGGCTCGCGCGCCTCAAGCGTCTGTGTGGCCTCGACCTCCTCGCCATCCTCGCGCTTGAAGCCGAACTGGCCGAAAAGCGTCGAGTTACGGTTGCCGGTGACGATGGATCCGCCGCCGAGCTTGGGCGTCACGGTGAGGCCGTTGCGGAACGCGCCAGAGACAGGGATGGAGTTGGGAATGTTCAGCGAGAACTGGGGTTCGCGGGCAGCAAGCGCGGGGGTTGCGTGCTCGAGCTCATCGTCGCGCTTGAAGCCAAAGCCGCCAAAGAGCTGACCGAGGAGCGTGCTGTTCTGCTGGCCAGTGACAATGGAGCCGCCGCCGACCTTCGGGGTGACAGTCAGGCCGTTGCGGAAGGCTCCGGAAACAGGGATCGAGTTCGGAATGTTGAGCGAGAACTGCGGCTCGCGGGCATCGAGCGTGTGTGTAGCCTCGACGTCAACAATCGCCTCAACATCTCCGTCGCGCTTGAAGCCGAACGGGAAGATGCTGCTAAGCTGACCGAAGAGAGTGCTGTTCTGGTTGCCGGTGACGATGGAGCCGCCGCCGACCTTGGGCGTGACGGTCAGACCGTTGCGGAAGGCGCCGCTGACGGGGATGCCGTTCGGAATGTTCAGACTGAACTGAGGCTCGCGGGCCTGGAGAGCGGGAGTAGCATCCTCGCGCTTGAGGCTGTGAAAGGCACGTCAGTACCCTGTTAGGTGCGCATTGGGTGAATGCGGCTTACCCAGTCGGCGAAGCGTCCATGCCAACGGCGAGGGCAACGAGAACGGTAAGAGCAGAGGTGGAACGCATCGTAGTAGAGGTGGGATATGAGAAGGTAAGATGTGTGGAAGAGAAGTGAGTGGCTGATGAGGTGATCTGCTGCTGAAGTTGAAAGCCGTTGACCGGAGGGTTTATATAGCCTTGAAGAACGCTCCTGTAGGCGCAGGAGATCGAGATAGACAACGTCCAGAACGTGCAGCGACATAGCGTCAGAGTGCACGTTTCTTATTCTGTTTCGGCTGGAGCTGCACAGCACAGAAAGGCTGTACGCGTGAGTGGCAAACTGTCCAGGAGATGTTTCGGTTGTATGCATGCTTGCCGATGGTGAAGTTCAAGGTCGCCCTCAGTATAGGGTACGGTAAACAGAGGAGATCAACATTCCTCAGCTGTCAAGTCGGCGGAGTTTCATCTTCGTTGAACTCGGGGGTGAGTGCCATCAGGGTGCCATTGGCAGGCTCATGGTCGCAGGAAGAAAATCGTCCACGTCGACGCGCGCGACGCGAGGAGCGCTGACGCGTGACGTCACGCGTGCCGACGCTCACAACCGCAACGTCGGCCTGCTTTCGACGAGACGACCAGGTCGTAGACAGCTTGTTGAACGACATACTTTTCCTCAATTCGAAATCCCCACCGTCTGTGCTATGCAGCGACACAGGCGCACTGAGCGCCCTCCTCTGCTCTGTCGCAGGGGTGAGGCTCGTAAGGGGCTAGGGGTGACTCGCGGCTATCCCAATGATTCGGCTACGGTTTCGGATATGTCGAACACAAAATGACCTATAAAACGCTCACAGCTAGACCCCAGCGCGCCTCACCAAGACCACCACTCTAAACCACTCAACCTAAACCTACCAAACCAAACCTACCTTACCAATGCCTTCTTTCCGCACCATCCACCTCGCGGTCCTCCTCGCGGCCGCATTCATCCTCTCCGCGACCGCCGCGCCTGCGCCCGCACCATACCTGTACGTTTTATCCCTCTGCTCTCATACCTTATCCCTTGCTCACAGTCTGCGCTTACAGTGACACCTCCGACCCACCCCTCCGCACAACGAGCATCGCGAAGAAGCGCGCCTTCACGGAGGAAGACATGCTACGCATCGCTCGCTCGCTCAGTGCTCCCGTCCAGCGGTACGGCGAGTACGGCTATGCGCCGGCGGATATGGCTACGAGGGAGGCATTGCAGCAGATTATGGACGTGCCGCAGGCTGTTGGGGGACCTATGGGCTGCTAGAGCTTGAGCGCCCCTGACTCCTGAGTCTTGCATACCTGCCGTAGATTGCTTGTTGTATACCTACATCCGCTGGTCGGATCTATATCCATATTATATCTTGCAAACAACAACCTCTCGAGCGAGAGAACTGCATACGCAGTCATGAACACGCCGAAAACAACGTCAATCGTGTTTGAACAAAACTCCAATAAAAACATGATAAAACTCAAAAATCGCTCAAAAAGTACAAAATAATCCGTATAATCGTAATCGTATCAAAGTCCACACCAATACGCAAACCGAGATAGACTGTGCAACTCCCCTTACCCCCCACCATCCGTCCCCAGACTAAGCGCTCGCAGCGACGACCGGACTATGCGCAACAGTCGCATTCTTCGGCGGCCTGCCCCTCTTCTTCGGCAGCCCATTATCCTGCGTCGCAGCGGCCTTCTTCTTCTTGGGCGCAGGCGGCTTCTCTTTCTCTTTCTCCTTGGCCTCGTCTCCGCCAGCGCCGCCAGCCTTTGCACCTCCTGCGTCCTTACTCGCGCCTGCATCGCCCTTCCCGCCCGGTCCTCCTTGACCCGAATCTTTCTTCGCGATCACGCTCGGTCCCGGGACAGCATTCGCATTAGACGCAGCATTAGCAGCAGCGGCCTTCGCAGCGGCCTCCTCAGCCTTCTTCGCGTCCGCCTTGGCCTTCTTCGCCGTCGGCGGCTTCGCACTGACGATCTGTCCCAGCGGGCCGACTTTAGACCGTGCGGTAGGGATCGGGTCGTCGGGGATGAACGCGGGTGGAGGGATAGCGAGTGGCACAAAGGATACGCCTGGTATCGGTGCTTGTGCTGGAGGCTGAGGTGGTAGGACACCGGGTATATTCATGGGTATGCTCGGAGGTGGGAGTACGCCCGGTATATTCGCCACGCCCGGTATAGGTTGCGGTGGAAGTTGCGGTAGAGGCTGCCCGGCCATACCGGGATCGACGACGCCCATTTCTGGTAGAGGTGCTCCGGGTGGTGGGCCCATAAGCCTTGCGACCTTCTCCTGATAAAAGCCCTGCAGCAATCCAATCTGCTCCTCGATTTCCCCCGTCGCGAGCGGCTCGAACGGCTCGGGGAGCGGATACGGCAGCGGCGGCGGCCCGTCCTTCTTATCCTTGTCCTTCTCCGCCGCCGCCCTCCTTCTCTTGAGCAGCTTCGCCGGGATCCTGTTGCTCTGCAGATTAAACTCGCTGGCAATCCCCAGCTCGCGGAAGCCGAGGAAGTCCTCGCCGAGCTCGTCGAACGTGTCGCCCATGACGTACGCGCCGTCCTCCTCCTCCTCCGCGCCTTCCTCCCCGAACAGCCCCACATCGTCCAGCGCCTCGCCCCCGCCCAGCTCGCCGAACGCACTATGCACCTTCTTCTCCAGCTCGCCCAGCCTCGTCCCATGCCGAATGACATCCTCCCTCACATACCCCTCCAGCTCGCCCGGACTCCGCACCCCGCCCTCGAACAGCGCATGCAGAATGATCTCCTCGCCGCTCATCTGCCCAGAGTACTTGTCCGCGTAAAACACGAGCGTGCGCCCGAGATTGGATATGTACTCGCCCATCACGCTGCCGAGCGTGTCGAGCGCGGACTTGGACGTGCCCTCGAAGCCGACGTGTTCGAGCACTTTGCTGGATGTCCACCGCATGCAGCTTTCCGCGGCCGTCGATCCAATGTCGACGCCGTGCGGACCTGACGGGCCACCCGGTAACGTCCAGTTCCCGCCCTCGACCTCCATAGGCGCGTCGATCCCTGCGCCTCCACCACCGATCGCCCCACCACCTCCGCCGCCGCCACCAGCCTCGTCCTCGCCCGCTTCGACGATCTGGGCGAACCGTGCGTGGGCTGCACGTACGCGGCGGATAGAGTTGATGTTCGCGTTCATGCGCGCCAGAAGACTCGTTTCGCGCGGTGGAGGAACAGCACGCGCGCGCGGCCGTTTGCGTTTCTTGCCCGCAAGTTGGGCTGGTGCTGCTGTAGCCGATGAAGTAGGTGTACCCTGCGAGGCGGCCGGTGTCGGAAGCGATGCAGCAGCCGCTGCAGATCCAGATGCAGAAGCGGTGGGGAGAGGTGGTAAAGCCGAAACGACAGATTGCGGCGGAAACGGCGACGGCCGCGGAAAAGGCGTGCTGTCGGCCAACAACCGCGACGGCGGCATCGCGTTCCCGAGAAACAGATCGCTGCTCTGAGCCGCCCACCACAGATCCAACGGATCCGGGCCCTCCGTCTTGCTCGCAAACCCAACGCTCACATCCGGCGAATCCGTGCGCTGCCGTTTGACAGGCCGTTCAGGCTCGAGCATTCCATTCGCTTTCCGCTTCTCGCCGACCTCTCCAGAGTCCGACTCTACGTCCATAGGCGAATGCGCCGCAGAGTTTATCAACAGATGCGCGTGCGAAGGCGGGATGTAGTCGCGTAGAGCTTCGATGGCGCGTGCGCGTGCGTCGGGGCCGGACTCTGCGTCGTCGACGAGCATCTCGAGCGCGCGCACGTGCGCCATGCCTTCCGCGCTCCGCCTCAGCGCCGGACTCGCGATCCACGCGTCGTAGCTCAGACTGTCCTTCTCCGCTTTCTTTCCGACGACAGTCGCCACCGGCCCGCTCCCCGCCCTGCTCCTCGGCATCGCGCTCGGCGTCCGCGTCCGCGTCCTCGCCACAACGGGCACAGCATGCGCCACGCCGTTCACCTTCGCCCTGCCCAATCCACTCGACGGCGAATGCGGGAACACCGCGTCCAGATCCGGGTTCTGCCGTTCGCGGATGTCGGTGATGGATTGTAGTAGTTTGTCTGCTTTCCGTTTGAGGCGCAGGGCGCAGGCGCGGAGCGGGTGGTTCTCGGCGCTGTTGTATTCCAGGCAGTTGGACCAGATCAGGTCCAGGTCGTCTTGGAACATTCGTTTGGTCGGGTAGTCGCCTTTCTTCAGGTTCTTCAGCATCGTGCCGAGGTCCATTGGTTTCGATATCTCTGTGTGCTTGGTTAGCTCTGGGGAGTGGGTAGGCTGTGGTTGAGACTTACTGGCGTAGTAGTCTGGGTAGTCTATTCTTGATACTTGCTTCAAGAACGCGTCCGCGTCGTGATTGTCCTAGACCGCAAATTCAGTACGAGATTCACTCAGTGAACGATAACCACAGACCATAGTCACGCTCCTAAGCTCGAGCAACACTCCCTCCAGACTATGCTGAAACTCCTCCTTGAGCTTACTATCCGCGCCCTTGCCCGCCTATACACACTCGTCAGCCACATACCAATACTCTAAATCACGAACACCAACGCACAGTGCGCGCGCTCTGCATCTGCTCAAGCAAAGCCCGGAGATCTCCATCTCCCTCCCCGCCTTTCTTCTGGCTGCTCGCCAGCGCCTTCAATAAGTTCTGCATCACAATTCAGTCAAAAGTCCGAGGGTGGATGGCATGAATCAAGAGCCGTACGTTCATCACGACGCCGAGCGAGGTCGCGGTTCGGAGGCAAGGAGCGCGCGAGCGGTCCGGGCCACCGTGTGACGCGCGTGGTTGGGTTCGCACGGGGGTTGATCAATGCTGTTCGTTGATCTTTCGTTCTCGGACTATGTCAGAGGTATTGCGATTATGGTAGGGTAGTGTACAACAAGCATCGTGTGGTAAAGAGTACAGTTCATCGTTCAAAGTTCGTCACAAGTCCATGAAAGAGCATCCAAGCATCGTGTATGCACATCTCATCCATCCAATCTCCCTCAAGCAAGCGCAACACCAACAACAGCCGCCACCAGCCCCACCACCAGACTAACCCCTTGCCTCCTCGCAGAAGCCGCATTCCCCAGCACACCGCCCTGCTCGCTAAACGTCACATTCTGCGGCACGCTCGAGTTCACACACTGTCCGCCCGCCACGTCCAGGTTGACGATATCGTCGGCCGTGCGGTAGAAGAAGTACTGGGACGAGTTGACGTTTTGGAATTCTTTGGTGCTGTAGGGGATCTTGTCGGAGGAGTCGGTCGAGGAGGTGTTGCGGATGAAGATGCATTGTGTCTGCGGCGCAAGTCAGTATATGTTGGGAAGATGGGGAAAGGGAGACGAACCTGGTTGGGGAAGGTCTGCGTGATGTTCGGGTACGCTGAGAGCAGCGTCGAAGACGACGTATCGCCAACAAGCACAAACTTCCTCTGCGGGAAACTCTCATACAACCTCTTCAGACTATCCAACCTCGCATCCAAAATCTGGCTAGGATCGCTCAAGTTCACCGGGCGCATCTCAAGACTGCCCAGCGGGTAGTTGCTGAACAGATAGTCCACATACGTCCGCGTGAGCTCGAGCGGCGTCGTGGTGTCGTAGTGGAACGACACGTTCGGCAGGGACTGGTTCCACGTGTTGAAGAGCTCGGGAATGCCGGGCACGTTGACGTAGGGCTGGACGAAGGAGTTGTAAAGGCCTTGGTTCGGGACGTAGACTTTGGTTATGCGGAGGACGTCGTCGATGTCGGATATGACTGAGATGCCGGAGGTGGGGACGAGGATCGTGGTGCCGTTTCCAGGTCCTGGGCACAAGGTCAGCTTTGTAAGAAAGGAAGGATGAAGGCAGGAGACAGACCTTCGACATCCAACAACCCAACCTCCGCAACCTTCGTCCCATCAACCTCCTTATCCCCATTCAACCCCTGCACAACCCTAAACTCATCCAACTCCCCGCTCTCATCCGCCGAGTTCAACCCCACGCCCGTCTCGGGCGTAACAAAGTCGCCGTTGAACTTGACGATCGCCGAGACGTTCGCTTTGGATATGGGGATGGCGGCGAGGGCGGAGGTGCGGTTCTGTAGGAGGGACTGTTGGGTCGTGTTGAGGTTGTCGGTTTTGAGGCCGTCGATTATGGAGTCGAGGTCGGAGGTGGAGACGTTGGGTTGTTTGTAGACGAGGCCGTAGAAGCGGACGTTCCACCTGCGTACAGTATGCATCAGCTACGCGGCTACGCAGAAAGTAATCGGAGAATCACACACCCGCTCGACGTGAAGTTCGAGTATGACGGCACCATAATCGCCGACGGCGGCAAGCTATTCAGGTACGTGTCGTTCAAGTTCAGCTTCTTCTCAATGTCGTCCAAGCTCGGCCAGCTCCCGAGTACCGCTATGCGCCCAAGTCAGTCATCTCACCCACTCCACACAACAATGTGAACACTTACTCGACAGAGCAGAAGCAGCTGCAGCAGTAGCAGACGACACCTCAGACCCTCCAGCACTGGTGGCACTCGCGCCAGCAGAGGCAGCCGCAGAAGTCAACGACGACCCCGCCTGAGGCGCCGCATACGCGCCCGACGCAATAAGAGCCACAACAAAGCTTGAAGACAACATTGTCTCAGTCGAAACGAGGACGAGCAAGTGATCCAGTCACTACTCAGCAGTGAAAGAATATATAAGAAACGGAAGGAAATGACGTCGACGTTGAGCGCGATGGGCGCTTAGGTGGGTCTTGTGCGGCCGTTGTTACTACTGACGGCGAGACTGCACGTTGCCTTGGTGCCGGTGAAACGATGCATTGGGAGGGCTATATTTGGGATCAGAATGGGCTTGGCAGGGAGGATGCATGTCGTTGGTGGAGCGGTGGGGTGACGCGCGCGCGGTGATGTGGGGAGCGAAAACGCGCGTGACCGTGTCGTGTTGTTCGCAGAGATGCAAAGAAAGAAACACTATATTTCCTGCTATGCGATACACATAGGAGCTAGTGTTTGACCGTCTGGGCTGTATGAGCCACGTATAGCGCTCTCAATGATGATAAGGATCGCTGCTGGATGCAATAGCATGGTTGATGTGGCATGGGAGTCCGTAGTTGCGATGACGAGCGCGCCTGGACTTGACGGCGAGGAACCTGCGCTCGCGTCACCGGAGCTCATTGATGAAATGTCGTATACGAATGAAGCAGTCCAGAACACTCGTTGAATACAGAAGAGAATGCAAAGTGCGATCAGCCCTTTGAGTACGTGTGACGGGCCTCCATTTCGCCGCAAGGTGATGATGGCGAGCGTTCACGACCGCCACACGCGTGCGCCCGCCTTGTCCAGCACCTTCCGCACGGCCTTGTCCCCGCGTCTGCTGGGTGCAAGCGCGAGGCAGCTCGGCTCGTTTTCGGGCTGCTCGATCCAGAGGTGGAAGGGTGGGAGCGGAGCGGGTGGTGTGGATGCGGGCGCGCCTTTGGTTGGTACTGGTGGTGTGGACAGTTTGTCTGCGAGTGCGAGAATGGCGGACGCTGATGAGACCTGCGGAAGTATGGTATTTTAGTTACAGTATGCCGCTTAGGGAGTATAGTGGTGCTCACCTGTAGGACTACCTGCACTCCGCGTTGGTCTATCGGCTAGTCTCTGAGACTACAAGCGAACGTACCGTATGCATGTACCTCAAATCACTCAGATACTCGATCGTATCCGGTCTCTCCCTCGTCTCATGCAGCACCTTCCAACGGACATATGCATTGTATTCCACGCGAACGACAACTGAATGTACACACTGCGGCAGTCGCATGAGATACCTGCGCCATCAACGGCCCGATACCCCAGCTCTCCGTCTGCAGGATCATCTCAGTTGACATAGAACGACTACAGAGATAAGAGAGAACACACACGTCCAATAAATCACTCCGTACAACTATTTGCATAATCAACGGCTGCTGTTCCTCCGCGCGCTCCGTCCCTTCCGCAGCTTCTGCCGCACCGGAAGAAGCCATCGAGCTGCTATGTAGCCTTGAACGGTGTAGACGAAAGTAAGTCGGACAGCTGTGAGACAGAGATCTGATATCGAGATCGAGCCGGAGACCGAGGGAAGTGGAAGCGCGAAGACAAGTTGCCACACGCATGGAAGCGCCTGTCAAGCCGCGCCGCGGCATCCGAGGAAGGTTCTGTCAACATGGCACACGACCAAGTCTTATCTCCGTTTCGTTTGACTCTGAGCTTTCTGGTACTCCAAGTACATACACAGTAGCATTACGAGGACCCCAAAACCAAATACGTCTATGGTCTACTTCTTCGCGTTCTGCCAGCCGTCGGGCGGCGAGTTGATGCCCGCCTGAACGGCCGGACGCGCCGCGATCCTCTCAATCCACGCCTTCAAGCCCGGCAGATCGTCATCCAGCTCCACGCCTATGAAAGCGTGTGCGCGGATCCTACGAAAGCAAAAAGGTCATGAGCGTTCCTGTTTGTGTAGATGTTGGAAGGAGACGCGACGTACCAGGGCCAGACGTTGAGGTCCGCGATCGAGTACTTGCCTTTGCCCGGTCCAGCGAGGTATTCGCGGTCCTTGAGCCTGATCTCGAGGACGTGGAAGAGCCGCTGCGTCTCGTCTTGGTACCGCTTGATTGCGTAGGGGATCTTCTCGGACGTGAACTTGAAATGCGCCGCTTGGCCCATCATCGGTCCCACGCCTACACGTCCACACTTATCAGCCTCCAGTCGCACAGATACTACAGAAGAGATGAAGAGATACGAACCACCATGCGCCCAGAACACCCACTGCACCATCTCACTCCAATCATCCGCCTCCTTCTCAACGTCGAACGTGAACTTCTTCTCCTTATCGAAATGGTGCGCGAGGTACAGCAAGATCGCCGCGCTCTCGAAGACTTTGAACCCTCCGCGCGAGCGGTCTACGAGAGCGGGCATGCGGCCGTTCGGGTTGATGTCGATGAACCAGGGCTCTTTCTGGATGTTCGTGCTGATGTCAATGGGGAAGATCCTGCGGAAGTACAGAGTCAGCGCGGCTGAAAGGGAAGAGAGAAGGAAGGGGACGTACTCGACGTCTGGGCCCGCGGCGCCGTACGCGGCTTTGAGCTCTTCGACCAAGATGGTGGTCTTGAACCCGTTCGGCGAGCGACCGGTGTACAAGATAAGAGGCTTCTCGGGAGACGAGGACATGATACTAGCGATTCTCGGAGCGGTAAAGGCAAAGGCAGGCGCAGAGAGCGGAGGTGGTACTTGCGAGGGTGTCGACCCACCGCTAAACCGCCGCCCTTAAGAACCAAGCCTCCTCGTCATAGCACATACGCGTACAGTCCTTAGAAGCGAAATTGTACTGTCATCCTATGGTCAGGATATAGCAAAGTTCTGTCAGCGTACGAACGCTTTGGTGTAGACCGGCGCAAGGACCGACGTCGGCTCGGGGTTATGCGAGGCACCGCGTTCGCCGACAGGCTTATGTTAGCAACCTACAAGAGTAGCGCGGGTGTACGCCCGCTTGTTCATATGTACTTTGACCATCGCGAGAAGATATGTAGCCACAGATCTGATTCATACCAGCGAGTACTGTCAAAGTCATGACGGCAGGAAGCAGACCGTGAGGATTGTCTTCAGCTCGAGCGCGACGCGTCACGGTTGAACTTGCTCTGAACCACCACGGTGACGCTGCATGTACGCCACAAGTCTTTGGTGCTTACCAATGAGTATGGGAACGCTACCGTCTTGTGCAGACCTATTTGCTATCGGACTCATACACATGACCGTCAACGCTTCTGCCCATTCCTCTAGTGATACATCTAAGTAATCATACAGTACACGGCTGTTATACACCGACATTCGTGGAGCGATACAAGAGGTATGCTATGCTATGCTAGTACGTGTGCTTCTATAGTATGTGGGGTATGATCCAAGAGAAAGTCTAATGATGTCTACAACAAACGTCCATTGTCCCGATCCAAATATCCAGTCGAGAGGTGTCCGTCCAAGTCACTCAACCGTCAAGCTCAACCAGATCCTCCCTAGTAATAAACTCGAACTTCCCAAACTCGCCCGCAGGCGTACCAGGCGTCTGCGCCCCAGGACCGAGCCTCCACTCGTCCCTCACGCGCTGGAACAACGCCCTCAGCGTCCTCTCCGCGCCCTTCTCATGCACAAGCGCAACCGTGCACGACGCTCCGCGCCTCTGCGGGCCCATCATCTCCACGCGGAACCGCACGGCTTTGCTAAGGAGCGCACCAGTGCGCGGGTCGTACGTGTCCGGGACGGAGCACTGCAACGTCGAAGGGTCCATGTCGCCTTCGTTGGCGGGGAGAACTTCCGCGCCGAACCAAGTCAACAGACGCGCAACCTCGTCGCGGGAGGTGCTCGGCGGTGCGGCGGACGGAAGAGCGTACGCGTGCGCTTTCCAGTGGAAGAGGTTCGAGAACCAGCCTTTGACTTCTCCCAGAGGCGGCGACTGCAAGATCGAGCTCTTCGCAGTCGAGAGCGGCGGAGGCGGGGGCGAGGTCATGGAATCCATAGTCGGCGCTAAAGCGTTTCCATCAGCATACCACAACGAGAAGTCAACATCAAATCCAAACGTACTCTTCGACTTGCGCGCGTCCTTCTGCCCCATCGAGCGTGTAACGATCCTGTCCGCGCGCGTATCGAGGTCCGACGTGAGCGTCTGGTCAAGACCGAGACCAGCGGGCCCCTCGCTCGTGACATACGAAGACTGCCGCGAGCGCTTGTGGTCGCGCCCGAAGACTTCCTCATCATCCTCGTATCCCCGGCCAGAGGTCGCCGCTGCCGCCCGTTGCGCCTGAGCCTGAGCCTGGGCACGCGCAGCGACCTGAGCCCGTGCATGTTCAACGTGAGAGAGTACACGCGGGGCAGTCATAGGCGCCGGAGCGCTTGCAGCATACTGTGGAGGCGGCGCATGGGGCGGCATGAAGCTCGTGCGGTTCGACGGTGCGGACATTGGCTGGGCGCTGCGTGCGTGGCCGGTGCGTGGCGGAGTGCGCGGGTCATTGCGCGAGTGGCGGCGGGATGTGCGCGAGCCGGCGGGAGGCTCGTCGACGTCCATAGGCGCATAGTTGAAGTTCACAGCCGATCCGGGGGCCGTCGGAGGAACTGCGAAGGGCAACGTCGACTGCTGGCTTGTGACGGGAATCGACATGGGGCGCATGCGAGCAACGCGAGGTGATTGCGGGCGCGCGCGGGGCGTCATCGGGCTGAACGGCTCGATCGGCGATGTCTGCTCAACGCGGGCGGGCGCAGACAATCCACGCTCAAGCTCGGGTATCTGCAGCAGCGTCGGTGGCTCCGCAGTCGAAGAGTCCAGGCTGAGAGGGCGGTTCTTCCGTGACAGAGGCGACATGTATAAGCGCGTAATGGCCTTGACCGGAGGAGCCTCCGGCAGTCCGTGCGACATGAAGGAGCTGTGCTCCTCAAGTGCGGTCTCGCGGTGCTTGCAGAGAAGGAAGTAGAAGGCCTTGGCGAGAACACCCTCACCCGGCGGGCTTAGAAGATCCTGCTTGACTGCGGCTGGAACGGCGGCCTGGCCCATGATCACGCACAAGGAGTCGAAGACATCGCGAAGAATGTGCTGAACAGAAGCGACGGGACGGGCGAGCTCCTCGATGGACGGCGCGGGAACGTAGAGGATCTGCGGCGTAGCCTGAGAAAACCAAGGGTGGGCTAGGATCTCTGGGATCTGTTGAACAGTGAGTATCGAAGTCTGTAGATCGAGTGCAAGACACCTACCGTGATACGCCTGTTCACATCGACGACGAGAAGACGCGTCAACAGATCCCTAGCCAGCGGGTCGACGTACGCCGGGATCTCGTACCGACCACGCTTCACCTTGCTCAGAAGCGTGCGGACATCCTTGTCGTCGAAGGGAAGACGACCAGTGAGAAGCGCAAAGAGGATAACGCCGCAGCTCCAGATGTCCGTCGCGTTGCCTTCGTACTTATGCCCGTTGACGACTTCTGGGCTGGCGTAGTGAGGGCTACCGCAGCTCGTCTCAAGCTCAAGCGCAGGCGGAGCGAAGGTCGCCATACCCCAGTCAGCGATCTTGACCAACGGGGGGTTGAGAGAAGCGATGAGGATGTTCTCAGGCTTCAAGTCGCGATGGATGATCGAGAAGGCGTGCGCGTAGCTGAGACCATAGATGATCTGCTTGAAGTACGCCAGCGCCTCGAGCGGAGCAAGCTTGCCGCGGTTGACAAGGAAGTCGAAGAGCTCGCCGCCAGGAACGTACTCGAGAACGATGTAGAGCTCGGTCTCAGCCTCATAGACGTCGTAGATGCGCAAGATGTTAGGATGGTTCATGAGCTTCATCATGATGATCTCGCGGTCGATACCGAGCTTCTGCTTGTCAGACTTGGCTGCACGCGTGTCGAGCGAGAGATGCGAGCCAAAGACAAAGTCAAGCGGGAGGATCTTGACAGCGGCAAGCTCGCCAGTCTTGCGGTGCTTGGCGATCTTGACGTGACCGCTGGCGCCCTTGCCGACGGTCTCGCCGATAACCCAGGGACCGACGAACTTGGCGTCGTTCGGGTACTCAAAAGCGCCCTTGCCAGCGGCGGCCTTCTCTTTTTCCCAGCGAGTGCCGTGGCGAGCGTTGTACTGGGGCGGTGCGGGACGGGGGACGTCAATGTTCATGGGGGTGCCGTCGTTCGTACCAGCGGGGACGGCGGGCATAGTGTGAAGAATAAAAGTGTTAGACTAGATGAGATGTAGAGTAATGATATGCGTGGCGGGCGTGATCGTGAAGGAAAGGTCGTGAGGGAGATGGCGGTACGAGACGAAGGAACGGAACACGACGAACGCGAAGTTCAAGTAGATGACGGTATGTATGCGAGTACCCACGTGAGCGCGTGTCAAGTCGTGCGATGCGATCAAAAGTCTCGCCCGTGGCCGCCTGCGGGCTTTCAGCTGAAACGGTCGGCATCGCCTCGCCGCGTCGATTATATTCGTGCTCAGTCCATCCTCTCGTCTTCGTGTCTCTTTACCTGTCACATCGACCTCGCCAGCAAGCGCCAAGACGGAAAACAGCGATATTCAATTTGAGCGATAATTACGCGGATTGAACGTCACGACCCTCCCACCAGCTGAGCTCCACCTGGGCCCTGCTTCTCGCAACAGAGTCCGCTCGTCTGCGCCGCTCCTTGCTCTCTGACGGCCATCATGGCGCGATACGCTCTACTTGCCCTCCTCCTGCCCGCTCTCGCACAGGCTGCTGTGAAATGGAGTTTCCAGAATAGCCCGAGGTCGTGCGAGACGCTCTCCCTCCAGGCGTCCGGAGGCACCCCGCCCTACAGCTTCCTCATGATACCCAGCGGTCCCTCGCTCCTGGGCGGAGGCGGCATCGAAGTCCGCAGGGTGATGAACATCACCTTTAACGACACCGACACAACATCACACCTCAACTTCACCCTCCCCTACCCTGCGAACGAGTCCTTCATCGGCGTCGTGAGTGTTATTCTATTCATATCGCGTGCTTTCATTCTATCTCCATGTGTGAAGCTCTCAAAAGCTTGTTTTTGCCTCGCTCTGTTCGTAACTCGGGACGCATGACACTGACAGCTTCGCGTGTACAGGTCTCTGATGCATCAGGATTCGGCTCGGGTGGCGTCTCCGCCTCGGTCACCGTGCTTACGGGCGACAACACGAACTGCTACGATTCTACACAGAGCGTAACGGCGCGCTGGACTATCAGCTCGACCCCACAACAAATGGTTTCATGTGAATCTATTCGCTTCTGGTGGCAGCAGGAATCGGTATCAGGGTACGTTCTCGAACCCGAAGCATGAACTGCGCAGTTCGCGAGCACATTCTCATCTTTTGACCCTGCACAGGACGGTTAAGTTCAACGGTGTCATCCCCGGCGGCGATGCGTTCGACATCCCTGTGGGGACAACAACGAAAGATAACAACGGAACTGGATTCAGCTGGATCGCCGACGTCAGCGCGCAAACAACCGTCTACATCGTAGCTGGTGATGACCAAGGTCCGGCCAGCAGTGCACCTTATACCGTCGCAGCATCCACCAACAGCTCGTGCTTGAACGACGATTCGCCGCAGTCAACCGCAGGCAGCCCGGCAGGTGGCTCATATCCCACGAGCACCGACGGATCGACAACTGGCGGCGGAAACGCCAATAGCAGTGGCTCTAGGTATACAATCCTCAATCTGAGAATCAATATCATTACTCACAATGCCTTACAGCAGCGGCGGTAGCAGTACTAACGTTGGTGCCATTGTCGGTGGTGTAGTAGGCGGCATTGGCGGTCTCATCGCCGTCGTCCTCTTGGCCTGGTTCCTCCTCTTCCGCAAGCGCAAGCAACAAGCAAACTACAATAAGGAGCGCCCCATCAACATCCTCCAAGACGACGACGAAGACAACCAGCCGCGCGGCGACCTCCCACAGTACTACGAGCCTCAGCCCTTCACTGTCCCCGATCCGACGGTGGCAAGCACGACTGACGCCGCGTCCACGCGTGGAGATAACATGAGCGAGCGCGGCGCTTTGATGCGGCCAGGGACGCCCGGTGGCATGACAGATGTCACGAGCAGCTCGCGCAAGACCGCCATGCCCCGTATGCGGCCCGTCAACATCGTCCAGCATGAGGACGCTGGCCCTAGCGCTGCGCCTGCTGCAGAGGAGCAGCCGGAGACGGTCGAGCTCCCTCCTGCGTATACGAACTTGCGTGCTGCACCGGGCGCATCGGCTGCCGCCGAGGCACAGGCGTAAAGACACAAACGCTACTGCTGGACTGGATACCCCCACCATCCACAACTCCGCTCCTACCCGCTATGCTCACTACGATCCCTCGCTTGCTCTCTCCGTTCTCGATTGCTGTCGACTATTACTATGCCACGACGGTCAGGCCTTCCGCAGCGTACCCAGCCCCCGTCTTTAAAGTCCATCCTCTCCGATCCCCTTCTTGAATCTCAGAAGAATCTGCATTGTATACAGTTTCGGTATCGTCCTACGAATCTATCTACAATATTCAAACTACAGAGCTCGGTACATCGAGCCACAGTGCGGATATCGACTCGGATACGACGTCAACAAATTCCTATGACCCCTACAACTGTCGATCCACGCCACACACACATTCCTACCCCACAACCGTCAGACTCCATTGCTCCACCCCACTCCACCGTTGTTGGTTTTCATCAGAACTCTAGCCCCGTCGCACGCGATTTATTCTCTTTCTTTATACGTTTTTTTATCGGACAGACATTTGACTGCCGTTTTGTGTCATTCTCTTACCTTGGACGTTTGTCGGTGTTGCGCGCAGAGACGTTTGGTTTCTCGTTACGATGTTCGTGTGCTATACGGCGTTGTTTTTCTTTCATTTTTGTCATTGCGTCATCTGTCATTACACTATATCTCTCAGGCTACTCGAGTTATTCCGCTTTGCCCATGAGGATTGTATGGGTGAAGGCGCCTGTAACACGCTCTAAAGATATCGCTGACGTTGACAGACGTTTCTCGCAGCGACCAGGGAAATCAGAGTGTATACAGACAGTACAACGTATGTACGCTAACTGATAAGTGCTTGATAAGACTCTGATAAGGCCTAGTGGTTACGCGAGAGTGCATACGTATCCGACTGCGGTTCGAGTTCGGGTAGCGGCACTGACCCCGAAGAGATAAATTGCGGATTTCATTAGATTTCATTGTGCAGATATTGAGATGGGTCCGTGTGGGCGTTAAACCCCTAATTAGACTCCTCCCGCTGCCATCTCTCCTTCGGCCCACCACTACCTCTCCGAATATAAGCATCCGGGACCTCTCCCGTACAATCACTGCTCACCTAATACTATAATCATGCCGGCGGAACATCGAAACTGTGCCAACTCCGAGTACGCCCATGTGGATTGGATGAGAGAGGTGACAAAGCGGTTGCCCGCAGGTTGGACCTCGCGAAAGCTGACAGAGCTCGCTGCCCTTCTGACGAGCGGATGACACCACGCGCGCGTTCTTAACGGGTATCGTGTACAACTGTAGGGAATATGTCCCGCTTCTTAAGCTCTGCTGCATCTCGTCGGCTGGCTGCACTCTCAAGCACTCTTACCCCTCCTACAACTGCATCTGCTGCTCAATTGAGGTTCACCAGCAACATGTCTTCTGAGAAGCCGCTCGTCTTGTACACTGGTCGCACGCCGAATGGGTTCAAGACCACCATTTACATTGAAGAGCTCAAAGCCGCGTATGGCGCCGCAGCTCCGGACGTCGAGTGCGCACTTTTCCATGCGCATGCGCCGTGTCCCCTTCTAACTACTTCTACCGCAGGATCTTCCCCATTGACATTGGCACGAACGTCCAAAAAGAGCCCTGGTTCATCGATATCAACCCGAACGGCCGTATCCCAGCCTTGACCGACCGCTCGCGGGGCAACTTCAAAGTCTTCGAGAGCGCCGCGATCTTGTTGTACTTGGCGCAGCACTTCGACAAGGAGAAGAAGTTCACGTTCGATGCGGAGAAGGAGGCGGATGACTACAGCGAGATGCTGCAGTGGGTGTTCTTCGCGCATGGTGGTATGTGCCCCTTCGCCCTCTTACTTGACTACTGGTGTACTGACCAACGTCGTCGTCGATAGGTGTTGGACCGATGATGGGTCAAGCCGCACACTTCTACAAGTTCGCACCTGAGAAGATCCCCTACGGTATCAAGCGCTACCAAGACGAGACGAAGCGTCTGCTTGGCGTGCTCGAGATCCGGCTCAAGGACAGGGAGTACCTCGCTGGACCGGGTAAGGGCAAGTACTCGATCGCTGACTTCAACGTGTGGCCTTGGTACGTCCCTTCCCACCTTTCCCGCACGAATAGAATATTGATATGGTTCACACTGCAGGGCGCGCAACTACGCTTTCCTTGGTGTCGAGGCTGATGATCTGCCTAACTTCAAGGCGTGGGTTGAGAGGATCAAGGCGCGTCCGGCCGTTGAGGCTGGTCTCAACTCGCCTCCGGACGGCTGGCAAAACGCGAAGAAGTAAATAACATGTGCAGACTTACATGCTCACTCTATCATATGTACGAATATGAGTACCCTTAAAAGACCTACTGTGTTGAACGTCACTGAAAGAGATCTTCTATCACCGCGCAACAAATGAGCAGTGTGAGGGCCATAGGTTACCCTATACTTATGATGGACCTCGATGTTTAATTGTGACGAGACTGGCCACGCGCCGATGCTCGGCACAATGAATCAATGGACGATAGGGGCAAGTCGGACTTTGCGGCCGAAGTCAAATCGAACCGTGTGCACAACTTGCTCCTTACGGTCGTCCTCCCATGACGGTGTTGGTTTGTCTCTTTCAACCACCCATCCACTGCACAACACCAGCCTCGCTCCCGCTCCATCATATGGCCACTAAGAGCCAGCACCACTGTAGAGTGAAGGGCATAGGCTCGAGTCAGTGCACTTCTCCGACCGTCGTCGGTGTTCGACTCGATGTGTAAACTGTCTGAGACTGTCCCGGCAAGACGCATCTGGCAGCTCCGCCTCCGCGCGCGGCGGCTCAAGTAGCCGCCCTAGGAGAGGAATCATTGTACTTTCTGAGGTCTGAGTCCAGCCATACGCGGTTGTTGTCCTTCTCCGATTCGCTCGAGCCTTCTCGTTGCCGTTTGAGACGATGACGCCAATCGCAACGTCTCAGCTGGAGAGTCGTCGATCTCCACCCGCGCTGACGAGCGTCGGGCCTCACAAAGATGTGTCATGCCGCCTTCGCTCTCTGCTGTGGCTCGAGCGAATGTGGGTACTGTGCTTATATGTCGGCGCGTCGCGTATGAGAGACGCGAAACATCTCGACCCGGCGCCCGCCTCCCATTCACAATGGCGCTTAAACAACATACACGCGACGCCGTTCGTGATACCACGCTTGGCTATCTGCTTCGGGCCGCCTTTGGCTCTAGCATCCTTCCGCATCCTGATGAGGAGAACTTCGAGGAGATCTGGCGAAAGAGCGTACATCGGGCCCATCACGTTCCACCTCAGCACGATCAACATGGCGACCCTAAACATGCTCACGACGATATTCGCGAGGAGACGCGTGATGAGGTGCGCGTGGAGAAGAAAGGCGACATTCGCGAAGAGAGGCGTGAAGTTGATGAGCGCTCGCCTTCACATCGCCGGTCGCGAGCCTCGGACGACGCGACGCTGATCGACGAAGCCGAGCCGCACCCTTCCGAAGATAAGCCCGGTCAAACAAAGGTGGACGACGGACCACCTCCGGCACCTCAGCGTGACGCCGAACTGCATTGGGGCAGTCAGTCTCCAGACGTGACGCGCGATACCGCGGAGAATGGCGTGGACTTCCTGCTTGTGGACTGGTACTGCGATGAGGACCCGGACGTATGGCCATTTCTCTAACGTGGCCATACTCGCCGCTAACCGTACTCGTCAGAATCCGCAAAACTGGAGTGACCGCAAGAAGGCTTGGGTCATGTTCCAGACATGCTTCCTGACCTTCTCTGTCTACATCGGCTCGTCAATCTACACATCCGGCCTTCCAGGCGTCGAGCAGGACTTTGGCGTGAGCCAAGTCGCCGCGGTATTGGGCCTAACGCTCTTTGTGCTTGGGTACGGGATTGGTACGTCGGCCGGTCTCCCCGAGCGCCGACTGAGTTCATACTCACGTATCGGTTGTTTGCGCAGGACCTATGCTTTGGGCACCCTTGAGTGCGTGATTGAACGCCATCCTGTCTTCTGTCACGCGCTGATGACTATATAGGCGAGGTCCCCCAGATCGGTCGCATGCCCATATATGTTGGCACCCTCCTGCTCTTTGTCCTACTTCAGATCCCGACAGCGCTTTCAGTCAACTATGGCATGCTCATGGCTTTCCGATTCATCACTGGCTTCGTCGGCTCGCCGATCCTCGCTACTGGAGGTGCGACAATTGCGGATATGTACACGCCGCGTGCCCGCTCATACTGGATGGCCCTCTGGGGCGTCTTCGCTGTACGCCGCCCAACACCCTTTCCATGCATGTGTGGTAATCTTACACTTCCTCACAGACTATGGGTCCAAGCATGGGTCCTCTCGTCGGAGGCTACGCTGCCGTCTTCGTCGGCTGGCGCTTCACCATCTGGACTCTCATGATATTTTCCGGCACTGCGCTGATCATCCTTGTTCTTTTCTACCCCGAGACGTCGGGCTCGAACATCCTGTACCGCCGGGCCCTTCGCCTTCGCAAAGCTACGGGCGATCGCCGTCTCAGGGCTCAGTCGGAAATAGACTCGGCTGAGATGACCGCGAAGGACATAGCGCTCATGGGTGCGAAACATATTCGCTTGTGGCTGAATGCTGAACTGACGGTGCGCATAGTGATTGTGCGACCCATCACCTTGAATTTCCAAGAGCCGATCATCCTCTGCCTCAACGTATACATCGGCCTCGTCTATGCCTTGCTCTACTGCTGGTTCGAGAGCTTCCCTCTCGTATTCGGGGGAATCTATGGCTGGCCGGAGCAAAATATAGGTTTGGCGTTCCTCGGAATATTCGTTGGCTGTCTGGTCGTCTTGCCATTATACTACGCCTTCCTCTACTGTGAGTATGCTTGTCTGTCTTCAAGCGTGGGTGGTCGCTGATTTTTCTATCAGTCTACCAGGGTCCGCGGTACAACGAGAAAGGCGAGATCCGACCAGAAGACCGCCTTCCAGCCGCCATCATCGGCGCTTTCCTGCTTCCAGTGTGTCTATTCTTTTTCGGCTGGAGCGCAAGACCGAGCGTTCCCTGGATTGTGCCCATCATTGGTTCAAGCTTCTTCAGCATCGGCGCAATGCTCCTCTTCGTGCGCTCTCTCCGTGTGTTGTCCTCGCAGCCGACCATCTGACTTCATCTCGCAGAATGCCGTGCTCAACTACCTCGCCGACGCATACCCGGTCTACGCCGCCTCCGTTCTTGCGGGCAATGACCTCGTGCGGTCTTCAATGGGCGCGGCATTTCCTCTGTTTGCCACGGCCATGTACAGGAACCTCGGCATTGGTTGGGCGAGCAGCTTACTCGGCTTCCTCGCGGTGGCATTTATCCCCATCCCCATCTTGCTGTGGGTCTATGGCCAGCGCATCCGTCTCGCCAGCCGGCGCGCACGTCACGACCTCATCTCATAGAGATGCCCTCAGTACAGTCTCGCCGTCTGTTGAGCTCCGAACTGTATTTCTAGAACCACACGGTGTCATGTACCCCAGATCTTTTCATGTAGCCATACGCAGAACGGTTTTACTCGCAATTCATGTAGATGAGATCGCCAAGTATAGTTGCGGAACAGACTTGAATTGTACACGGAGAAGTCGTCTTCTCCCTTGTCCGAGTCGGCACTTGTATAGACGCGCAGACCGAATTTGAAAGTGGGTTCGGCGTCTGTACCGTGGGCACGTACTTGGGAACGAAGCTGTAATGTCCGTGGACCGAAGCTTTCCACGGTGAGCGGCGAGCTTACAGAGCCAGAGTGCGGGACCCCACCCAGGGTCTTCAAGAAAGACCCCGAAGAACACTGATAGATGCAGGCGCTGTCACCAGATCTAGATTCCTCAAGATCCCTTGCTGTGGTCGTAACGATAGCTGTCACAAGCTTCTTGACGTAGCTTGTCAGATAGGGTATTAGTGGTTAACAAGTTAACAATGACTTCCATCAGGGCCGATTTGAATGGCCGAGATTGCGGTCATTGCGCGCACTGTACGCTCGGAAATCTCAAGGTATCGGAGCCATCTTCGCTTGAAGTTGACGCCTCGGCTGGTAGCGGGCATACCTTGGGACGATGTTTGCCGATGCCAAAGGTTAAAGCAGCACGATCACAACAGCTCTCACGCATGCAGACTGAATAGATCGGATTCCATTGACAGACGACATGTCGCGTAGTAGGGCTCGTTGGGATTATGTAGTTAGACATGTAGTGGGTTACAATGTCTGGGCAAGCCCGCATGATGCGTCCCCATGAGAATCGAGGGTGGAGATTCGTAGTATCAAGCATCGTAATTGGGCCAAGAATATGCATTTCGTCGCCGGCTTCATGGCTGAACCTTGAACAGGAATAAACAACGCTCCCGAATGAGCACGATGAGCAGATTTGTCGGATAGTTGTGGAGCATCTGTCCTCGAGACCGTGTCCAGAGCCAATTGAGGGCTCGATCGTCGAGGATGAAAGCGCACACGGAGCGCGCGGGTTGGGCGGCCATATGCGGCGACGCAGGCGCATTTTGATGGTATGATTTCATTGAACGAGGAAAAGAACAACGTACCGGGTGGTGACGGTCATTTCGGAGTTGAAACCGCATTCACAGCGGCCGTGGAGAAGCGGTATGTTCCTGCCGCCCATCGAGCGCGCGACCCGCCGAACGAGATGCACGACGCATCGTTGACGCATACGGTACAGTTAGGTGCCCATGATCCCTTGACTGCATCTCGTAGTCTCTTTGGAAGTAGATTGTGAGGAGTATCTGCTAGTCGATACGCCTAAGTGTTGCGACCGTGAGGGTCGAAGGCAAGAATCCTGCCACGCGGCGCGGAGGAGGAATGTCACATCTACGGACACCCATAAGTGTCCCTAACGCAAGGACATCCATCGGGCTTCCACGGCCTTGATCCTGACCATCACCATCGCCCGCCGTCGACCCCATCCTCACACGACATCAAAATGGAAACGTACAACTTGTGCATACTGTATAACGCCCTCTCGGCTATCGGCCACTGGGAGACCACATGCGCTTGGCTGGATGAGCGCGCCTAACGCCACTGAGAATATACTGGAGCGGTCGTTTGATCGTCTTTCTCCGTCTTCCCCGGGGCCTCCCGTGACCAGATACTCACTTCTCAACTTGATATCCTACTAATCAGCGCTGTTGACTCGAAGGTCGCCCGTGAACTTATTACGGCTGTAGCAAGACTTGCCGCCGGACCGTGGCATCCGGCCAAGACCTCGCCAACTTCAGACTTGAGTTTGTGCCCAGCGTTCAATCAAGGATTGAAGCATCATTAGCGGCGCTCGAGTGACGCTGCTGAGCACACACGCACAAGCGTCGCTGAAGACTCACACTCTTCTGATGTTCTCAATCTGGCCGAATGTTTGCTTTCAACATTCGCGTAGTCTTCTGACAAAGGACCGCCAGAGCCACGTACAATCGCATGCGCTTCAGGCCAGCATCTCCACTGAACGGGTGCCTTGTCCGTTCATATCCCACACGACCAAGCCACTTGACATCGACGGCCATTCAGTCCTTCATAGGGCTTCCTTGGGGTGATGGCGACCCGACGGCCAGGCTCTTTTCAGCACGAGCGGTGCTTCGGCGCTCCTCGGCGGCCACTTCAAGTCGGTATAATGCGAACATCCGAGCACAAAGAAGCGTTTCAACTGGTAGTCTGGAACCTTCGCAGAGCTGATGCCAGGTAAGTAACACTGTGTAGAAGCATCTTCGCTCCTGATCCAATGCCGATGATCTGGTAAAAATGTTAGTCGGGCGAGCCGAGGCGGCATCGTCCTCAGTGACACAGACGGGCGACAAAGGTATATAAGATACTCAGAAGTGGGCCGTCAATCCTCAGCCCCAGGGTTACCCGAGCTCCACCAACCGCACCTCAGTCCTCACCGGCCGCTCCTCGCTCCTCTCCAAGTCGCCATGTTCTCCTTCATGAAGATCGCTACCTTCGCTGCCCTCGCGTTTGGCACCCTCGCGTCGGCCATTCCCGCTCCTGCGCCTCTCCCCGTCGCTGAAGCTGGCGCTCTCATGGCTCGCGACGCCGCAGCGAACCAGGACGTCACCACGATCCTCACCAACCTGAACAACGATCTTCAAGCTCCCACCGGCCAGCTCAGTATGTTCATCTTTCTGGCTGTCCGATTCATGACACTGATACATCGACAGATGGCCTCACGGCGGACACTGCCACACCTGACAAGGTCAACGAGATCGTGGTCAGCATCAAGGTACTCATCGAGGCCGCCACCGCAGCGTGCGGAAAGGCTTCTGGTGTCGGCTCCGGCAACATCCTCGTCCTCATCTCCATCACGATCAACGTATGTGTGTTTCACGATGTCGGTCTCTATGATATCTAAGCAACTCCTATAGTTGGTCATCTCGGCTTGCAACCACTGCTACAGCGTCTGCACGGACAAAGTGACCATCCTTGTCATCCTCCAGCTCCTCGAGTAAGCTGAGCCTATCCGTCCGCGTCCGAATGCAAGCTCACAGACGCCCAGTGTTGTTCTCGCTGCGCTCTTGACCATCGTCTTCAAGCTCGTCGGCGGCCTCCTCACCATTGTCATCGGTCTCCTTGTTGCCCTCCTCGGTGGCCTCGTCCAGATCATCCTTGGACTCAAGTTCACCGCTTGCGCGAAGGTCTTGCTCCTGCTCTGAGCGACCATCTGAGCGGAGATGGAAGCTGTTGTCCTGACATCGAGTTTGCATTGAGTAGCTCCTCATACGCCTCATACGCTATTCATACGGTGGCTCGTCTACAAATACCATCCCTGCGGACTATATCCCGTTCCTAAATCTCTAATACATTCTTTTATTGACTCGAACCACAATCGGCGCCTGCACCGCCTGTCATCCGGACGTGGATTGAAAGATACTCAGTCCCATGTTGGGAACGTAATCTAATCATCAATACGCGCATCAGTCTTCACAGTTGAGCAACACATAATTTTGAACCGAACCGAACGGATCGTCATTTCTCGCAAAGTTGTGGATACTGTGCGATACAGAAGTGGACGTGACAACAACCGGCAATAAGTGCACGGTGGAGATGTTGCCGTGTGCGACGCGATGGCGTCCTCAAGGTCACTTTGCGCCCACGCTGACAGTGGGCGATCAAGCAATGCATGTCTGTCTCCTGGTTTGGCGGAGCGCAAAGACGCAATCCAGCCTGGCACAGGATGGGTATTCCGTGTAATCGTCGTTTTACACCCCTGGATAGCCCCGGGAGATCCGAGGGCATCCCATAATGCGTTGTGAAGGATGTCATCGTTCGTGGCAAGAGTTTGTATAGTTTCCTGGCATCGGTCTCGGTAGCTGAGAAGTAACTGGAGAGCATCTGCGCTGAGATAGCAGATGTTATTTTTGTAGTGTTCAATCGTCATTGGACAGGCGAGGAGCTCCTTCGCGGCTGAAAGGGCCTCTTCTCGTAGGCGTAAATGTGACGCGATGCCGTAGACCAGGCAAGGATCACTGGGCTTCACCCCAGTAGATGCACCGGCGCGTAGCGTGACAAGGGCGTAATCCATGTCAAACTTCTGAGCAGCTGCTAGGACAAGGAGGTACTCGGGGTAGTTGTCGGGAATCACTGTTGTGATGGGTAATATCACAGACAGTAACGACTCAAGGGTCGTAGCGCTTTCTGTCATCTGCACCATATCGGGCGATATGGGAGCGCTAGCAGAGGATACCTTGGGCAGACTGAACATGTCCTCAAAAAAAGCCGACGATATGGACAAGATGATCTTGTGAGTCCTGAATAGAACACCGTCACAAGAACGCAAGATGACGTCTGCATCAGCGCGCGAGTGGTTCGGATGAACTTTGTCCAGCGAGCCCGGCTCGCTCTTGATACAGGACATGAACGCGTAGGGATCGGGCTTCCATGACAAGGGAATCTATTCGGCAGCTTGAGCGAGACTACTCTTTCAATATGTATAGGAGGACATTACCCATCGGAAGCCATGCGAAGCTGACTCTTCTAGTTCAGTGCAGAATGCTTCAAGCTTTCCGAGGTCAATCTTCGAACAATGTGGACAGCGGCGGGATGATATAAGCTCGCAATGAGCCAGATTGAGGCCCAGCATCGTGCGGTTGATCCTCAAGGGAGTCTTCAAAGCCTCAGAAATCCAAGACGAAAGTAACGTAGGCCATGATGGCTGTAAAAACACGCATCCGTCTATTGTCTGCGGGTGTTCCTCGGTCCAGAAAGGAGTTCGCGAGTAGCGAAGGTTGAACGTCGTGAGGATGATGCTTGATTGTGGCACCCACGCTTGCCGATAAGTGTAGAGTCTGTAGAAGAAGTCGCCGGGTACATTGTGATCTTCGAGACGTAGGTCGTGTCCTAAAGAGTACTTCGCCGCGCGGAGCATCTCTTCAGGGAGATCGTGCTGAGAAGCAGTGAAGTATGCGCCAATAGGATCTGAGAGTATAAGATCGTCAAGCCGCAGAACATGTTTCATGATATCAGCACAGCGCGTGATACCAAGTTCTCTTGCAGCAGACAAAACAAGTGCGGCGTCATTGAATGTCTTGGGTAGTACCAAAGGAACAGGTAGAAGGGTCGACAGCAGATAAGCCACGATGGGTGACGGATAAGATAAGGAAAGCACGGCGCGATCTCCAATCAGTGTAGAGTATGGGCAATCGTTTTCACCGCCTTCTGAAGTCGCAAGGCGATCACGAAGGGACGGTGCCAATGTAACCAATAACTTGGGTACTAAGAAGAACACGTTATCGGAGGCGCGTACAGCCAGGTCTCCGCTGGCGGCGTCGTAGGGTGATCCGTATAGCACGGCGGTAATTGCATTTTCACCCTCGTCTGAGTTTGTTCGAGACATGGGGGAGACAGGTAGGATGATGGTGGTGGACAGAACACAGGATGGGACGAGAGGCGAGTCAGCGACTCGACCCGTGGCTAACTCGAAGCTGATCGGATCACGGCGAAGTGTGTGCGTGACACGTCGTTAGCACTGGCAGCCTTTGAGCAGGCTTCTGAGTTGCTAACGACGTTCATGGCTAGGACGCATCTTGCTCCATAGAGTGTTTCTCGAGGGACGGCTTTTACCATCAAATCCACTTCCGAGACACTGTATACAAAATATAATCGGTGAAATCACGGCCTCCTCCGATTTCAAGCGTCAAGATGAAAATATTTGCGTCGGCTTACTTAACTCTCTCTTTTCGGATGCTACATCGCGGTCGAGACAATACCGTCTCGATCGACCGTTAGGAGACGAGAAACACCTTCGAACAGGACGTTGTCGGAGGCCCGCACGGCTCCGTTACAGTGACTCAGAGCACAATTCAACGGGATGACGTTAGTAATCGACCCTACAGCTACTGCGTGCGGGACCGACTGCAGGCCTGTGGGCAACGTCCAAGGGCAGGGAGCTTTGCTCCGTGAAGTAAACCCAAATCGTGTTCTCTTTCCTTGCGTGAGCTTGTTGACGTCCAGCTCCGCGAGTAACCCGAGTCTTTCCATCCGCATCCGAACGCAAGCTCCAAGACGGTCAGTCTCGTTCTCACGGCGCTCTTGACCGTCGTCTTCGAGCTCGTCAGCGGCTTCCTCGCCGTTGTGATCGGCCTCTTTACTGCCATTCTCGATAGGCTCTCCCTGATTATCCTTGGGCTCAAGTTCACCACTTGTACAAAGGTCTTGCTCTTGCTTTGATAAGGGAGTAAGTGAGTGAACTTGAACACGGACGCCGTCTCTTGACATGGAGTAGCCCATCATACTTGATTCTTGCTTGGCTCGTCTACAAGGACCATCCATGAGGGCTATATACTCCTTATCTATCTCCTGATACACTCTTTCATATGTAACTTATGCAGAAGGACCTCCCTGGCTCTTCAACGTATGGATAACACCCCATCAATTCCAAGCTGGAAAAGCAATCTAGTCTGCGTGAGCAACAGCGCTGACGACTACATGTGTAGACGGCTACTCACCGACGCAGTGGCCATGTTATGCAAAGACCGGCATACTGCTCGATAGAGGGCCGATGTATTGATCGACATGCAGAAGGTGCATGGCGGTTTTGTTCGTTGGGTGTGCGAGGCTATGGCGCCCTCGAAGAAGCTCCGGGACCATGGCGAAAGCCTGCGTTCCAATTCGGCACCATCTCCTCCTGCCTCGACGGTGAGAAGTGACGAAGACCATCCAGGGACGAAGTGGTCGGTGTATGGGGTTTTGACCTTGCAGCCTATCTCTCGTGGCGAGCCCAGAGCTTCCCATAGCACTTTCATCAAGGTGTCTTCCTTTGAAAGAGCGTCCCATACGAACTGCTGACATGCGATGCGATACGTCAACAGTTGCTGTAGTGAAGTTTCACTGAGATAGCATATCTCTGTGCCAAAATACTCTATCGTCATCGGGGATGTCAGAAGTTCATCCGCCGCAGCGAGGGCTTCGGGTCGTAGATGCAGCCTAGAGGCGATACCATATCGCACATGAGCGGAAGTTGCTTCTACACGGGCTGTTGCTCCGACGCGGAGGGTGTCGAGGGCATATTCCATATCAAACTTTTGCGCTGCAGCTAGGACAAGCGCGTATGAATGGAAGTCGTCGGGGATATTTGTTTTGATGGGAAGGATGGATGACAACAAGCATTCAAGTGTTTTGGCGCTCTCTGCCATCTGCACGATTTGGGGTGTCTTATCAGCCTCAGAAGAGACCGGCAAGCTGAACATGTCTTTGAAAAAGGCGGATGTCATTGCCAATATGCACTTGTAGGTCCTGAAAAGGACGCCATCGCGCGATCGCAAAACAACGTCGGCGTCAGGGAGATCGTGCTTGTCACGGGCCTTCTCCTTCAGATCGGGAGGTACGATGTCTTCTTCAATCGACGCATATGGGTCAGTCACTTTGACAAGTTTTATCTATTTCGGTGGAGGAACATCAGTCAGACCATCTGAGGCATTCAAACAAGGCAAGCTCACCGACGCTAGCGCCTGTGCAGCCGACGTCTCCACATCCAGCATAATCTCGTCAAGTTTTCCGACATCTATGATCTTGTAGTCGGGACTCGAGATAGACGCGAACAAGGTCGGCCGCATGAACTCTGTAAGGTCCAGACACAGCCGCGTGCGATTGATCGCCGTAGGGGTATCGAGTACTAATGTGAGGGAAGAGTACAAGGTATCCCGCCACCCTGACCTGTTGAAGCTGCATCGCACACTCGAAGCCTTGTCGTCCGTGTGCTCATGGAGCAGGAGACACTCTTTCTCATACTTCTTCGTCAAAGCATCGGCAAGTGCGCGCGATCGCTGAGACCAAGTTCGATGGAACGTGTGCAAGTTGAAGAAGAGATCACCGGAAGAGACTAAGTCTTTCAGCTTCAAACGACGACCCAAGGAGTGCTCCGCAGCGCGTTGCATTTCCGTAGAAAGACCATGCCGACTGGCAACGAAGTAGGCAGTGATGGGGTCTGATTGTATAAGTTGCTTCAATGTAGGCAAGTGCCGTATAGTAGCGGCGGTATACTCCATGCCGAGCTCTTCAGCTGCTGCAAGCAGAGAGGCTGTTTGCTCGAAATCATCTGGGAGCTCCAGAGTAACAGGAAGAATGGTCGAGAGCAGATGGGCCACAATCGTCGACGCATATGGCAACGAAAGTACGCGGCGCCGTCCATCCGCATCGGTTGTATGGGAGCCGTCGTGGTTTTGATCCATGATGGCGAGTCGTTCTCGAAGCACTGAAGATGCCATCTCAAGCGAGAGCCTGGAGATGAGGAAGAAAGTGTCGTCGGAGGCGCGCACAACAAGGTCGGCACGAGCATTATCGAACGGTGGTCCATAGCTATGATCTCTATTCAAACTAGCATTATCGGTTGACGTGGGAGACATGTTGAGCACAGATACCGCCCGGTGGCAGGCGATGGTGGCCGTGGTGGACAGATATACGAGGGCACGAGGTGGGCCGGTTCTTTCATGTTAACCGTGCTTGATCGGATCACGGACCAGCCGTGCTAAACGCGAGATGACGTCATCGTCAATGCATCTAGGTCCTGCGCGACGGCAACTAACAGTATCTTGTCGACGACGTTCATGGCCGGCTGAGAGCCCGCACCCCTATAAAGTCAACTTCATTCGGCAACTTTGTATCACGTCGTGCCGCGCTTGAATCCAGCAGAACCGACATTTACGTCTGAGCGCCGCCAGCATGGGAGTCGCATCGGCTTTACTCGCCACATTCTCCTTCAGGACCTTGCCAGTCACCGTATTCGCATTCTTGCTTTACGCCGCTGTATTCATCACCCTCGAAGTAACGGACCAGCTCGCGCCTATTCCGGATGCAGGGAAACAACGTGACTTCGGGCTAAGCCTTACTGAAGCCTACGATGATCTACACGCGGTACGTTTCCTCCGAAGTTTGCACACATAGCTGTTATGTTGAGACAATCGGACCAAAGATCACATCGAGACCTCACCCGTTCAACTCGCGTCAAAACGATCAAGTGCGGTCATATCTTTATCAGCGTCTGAACGACATCGCCCGCGATCACGACTTCATCCACGTTGTCGACGACCATACTACCTCTACACACGTCGACGGACTTCAAGCTGTATATTTCCAAGGAAACAATATCATCGTGAAGGTCGATGGTTCTGAAGGGTATGCGGATGGTGAGCTTCAACTCAGGATCTTGAGTCTGTAGCTGACGCCTCGTGCGCAAGGCAACGCCATACTCTTCTCAGCACATTTCGACTCTGTGGCAACTTCTCCCGGAGCTACAGATGATGGGATGAGTGTCGTATCACTCGTACAGATGGTCGATCACTTGTCGAAGAACCGTCCACGCCGTACGTTCATCGCCAACATCAACAACGGCGAAGAGGACGGCTTAAACGGAGCGCACTCGTATGTCTCGAAGCGACCGACTGGGTGGTGTCACTAATACCCAGCGTAGTTATCTGGCCCATCCGTGGGCAAACTTGACCAAAACGTTCGTCAACTTCGAAGGCGCCGGCTCCGGAGGGTGAGTGATGTCAATATACTGTACGAACTATTTCTAATCACGAATGCAGACGGCCGTTCCTCTTCCGAGCAAACTCTTTACCTATACTACGGGCATTTACGAATGTAAACGTCCCACATCCACACGCCTACGCACTCTCTGCAGATGCCTTCGCCCAAGGCGTCATTCGGTCGGAGACCGACTACGCGGTCTACTCAGGTCCTCGCAAACCCTCTCTCTCAGGAGAGGTGGGCGCCGCGGACCATACAGGCTACCGTGGCTTGGGCGGCGGGATGAGAGGCGCAGACGTCGCTTTCTACCAGAACCGCGCCCGCTACCATACCCCAGAAGACTCTATCCGCGCCATGGGCCGCGAAGGTTCTCAACGCGCTCTATGGGCTATGATGGAAGTGGTCCGCGGCGCAGGGTCGGCACTGCTAGGTGCCTCTGAGAACTCATTGGGGGAGGACGTCGTGGGCAACGCCGAGCCGTCGACGTACTTTGAGCGTAGGTTGCATTTATCCGGGGTTTGAACTATATCGAATGACTTGACTGATGTGCCTTCGTACTTGCTAGTGTTTGCGGCCTACCTCATCGCATTCCCACTACGGACACTGATGGCGATCTTCATCGTGCTTCTGGTCGTGGGACCCGTCATCGCCGTCATCCTTGGCTTCTTCATGTACCGTCAAACGCACACGCAGAACGCAAGATGGGCGACGAACCTTAAGGGCTATGGCCGCTTTTGGCTGGCGTTACTGATCACCATCGGGCTTCATGTCGCGCTGGTCGTAGGCTACCTGAAACTCAACCCCTACGTAAGTCATCGAACGCCCATACCTCAGCTGAGCTCTAACGCTCCACCAGACCATCCACGCGAACTCTATAGCAGTCGTCTTGTCCGTTTTGTCACTCTCGTACCTGACGTTCACACTCTCGCTCTCCCTGGCACAATATCTCCGCCCTGTGCCTCCCGCGAAGCAGAAGTTCGCTGTGCTTCTGGAGGTCTACCTTCTTACATGGGCACTTCTCGTCGCTTCCACCGTCGTCACAGGCGGTATGAACGTCACCGGGCTGTATTGGGTTGGGGCTTGGAACGCTTCTGCGTTCATAGCTCTGGTCTGGGGCTCGATTGAGAGTCTCGCGGGCAAGGGTCACGGCGGACGCGAGATCATCCTGCCGCCGCCCAATGGACCAGATGACGAGGCCGCTCATAGTGCGCCCCCTCCCGCTGAGGACCCGCACCGCCCGGATCGTGATGATGACGAAGATCCAACTGAGCGCACGCCACTAATTGGACGCTGGAGGCGGCGCAAGGCTGCTCCCGCTGCAGTAGTTGCCGATGAGAAGGCGCAGGACCGAGCGGTTCTATGGTGGATCTTGGAGATGTTGTTCTCGATACCCGTACCAGTGTACCTGATCGGCTGCATCGCTCGGCTGTGGGTACAGTCCATGGCTCAAACTGTGCCCGACGGCGGCTGGGCTGGAATCAGTGAGTGTCCACCCCGGTTTCGAATGTTCATGTCACTGACAGCGCTCTATGAACAGTCTACATCCCGCTCTCCCTTCTGAGCATCTTGGTTCTTCTCCCGCTGGCTCCATTCGCATACAAGCTCCCCGGGAAGCTGAACACGCTGATCCTCGTCATCTTCATCGCGAGCACGGCATACGCATGGCTCATCTGGCCCTTCAACACCAGCGACTCACGCTTGAAGGTTTTCTTCCAGTCGCGCGTCAAGCTCTCGAACATCACGGACACTGCTGGAGCTCCGGCCTTTGTGCGCGCTACGACACAGCTCACAGGCGTACCGGGCTACATCGAGCGCGTTGTCAGAGAGCTCCCATCTACGTCGGGGAAGGGAGTCCTGTGGCATGGGGCTTCGCGTCCGGGGCTTATAACGCAGAGCTGGGAAGTTGAGCCTCGCTATGTGCCCTCCGTCAAGGGCGAGTGGCTCAACGCCAGTGCTACGCGCGTCAACGCTACCACGGCACACTTCCACATCAGCGGCTCTGATACACGGGCATGCAGGATCTACTTCGACAATCTCGATGTCTCTAGCTTCCGCGCGCGCTCGACGGAGGAGAAAGAGTGGAAAGAGCTCGAGGTGTCTCAGGAGGGCGTGCGGACCGTTGCGCTCTGGAGCCGGTTCTGGGGCGACGCTTTCGATGTCGACGTCACGTTTGCCGGCGAGGGGTTGGGGGAGAAGCATGTGCAGGGGCGCGTCGCGTGCATGTGGGCTGAAGTCGACGGCGTATGGGCTGGCAAGGGCAAGGGCGGAGTGAGGATTCCTGCGCTCGAGGAGCTGTTGGCATTCATGCCTGAGTGGGCGATTGTGACGAAGTGGGATACGGGGCTTGTCGAGGCGCAGAGTGATTTCTTGCTCTGAGCCCGAGTATCGCCTCGTATCGATCATCTGTCTCCCGACTGACCTTCCCTCATACTATGCTCCGATCCCATTCACGACTACTTCACGATCTGCCTCATCTAGCAACACTGTACAATAGCGCATCGAAACTGTAATATCAGTAGCAAATACACGCACCGCACCCTTACTACTTATGACGAACGACGTCAGCCTCGACCTCTCGAATGGAGAACATTTGGAGCACACGACCAAAGCGCGATGGCGGCCCTGCAAACATTACAATGCGTACAGCATACTGTACAAATGGTACAGCAGGCTGCACAATGATATTCCCAAGAAAGTATGTTATAGGGTGAAACAGTCGTAACATATGTAGCGGTCGGTCGTAGTCACGTAGACTGGGTGTGATAAGCATGGTCATGGTCATGAGCAGTATGTATATGTATCATGAAGAATGTCCAGTCGTGAATCACTCGTCCTCCTCCTCAGCCTCCTCGTCCATGACGATGACTAGGTAGCTGTTGTTGCGTACACCAGCAGAGATCATCGTCTGGTGCCTGTCGCACTCGGAACTCATCTCGATACCGTCGACCTCTTCCTCGAGAATGAGACGCGCGCTATGGAGAGCATTAGTACTTGGGGGAGGATAAGCCCGTAGTCACAACACTCACTAGTTCATATCAAGCCCGAACGCCTGGCAAGCCGGCTTCAAGATCTTCTCGACGGTATGCTTGCCCTTGATCTTGAACTTGCTCTCCTGCTGCGAGTCTGGGTGCGCAATTGTAACGAGGATCTTCTCATCAGGAAGAGGCTCCGCCTCGCGCAAGGGCGCAATGGGCTCAACCTTGCGAGACTTCTGCGACTCTTCGGCGTCGAAGTTGAGCGTCGATTGACGGAGGGCTGAGCGCTGGACCGGGGCGTGTCCACTGCTGCTGCCACTAGCGGTGGGTTGGGGACTGCGAGCGGGACGAAACTTCGGTTTCGGGCTGGGTGAGACCTCTGAAATGAACATGAGCGGACATTCATACATGAGGCGGCACATTCTTACCATCCTGAGCGGCGTAGTTGTTCGTCTTGTGAGGTGTCTTCTTTACGGAGCGGACTTCGGGGTTGGCTAAACACGAAAGTCAGACATAGCACATGGAGTTGACAGTATTTGATGCTTACTGGACGTGCTGATCCTGGCCTCGGACCTGGCGATAGACTGACGAAGAGGGGAGGGCGCAGTGTTCTCGTCAATCTCGTCTTCCTCTTCGAAGGCAATTGGTGTAACGCGACGCGCCGCCGAAAGCCTAATACGAGGCGGTGCCAGGTTCTCGTCGTTCTCCTCCGAGCTATCGTTCGACATAACGGGAGCCTTCTTGCTACGAACCGGACGCGCAGGGGAGAACATATCGTCGACGTCACGAGGTGTAGGGCGTGCGCTGGCTGCAGACGGCCGAGGGCTAACAAAGCGGTTGACGGTGTGTTTGACGCTCAGAGTCGAAGTAGCAGGCTCGTTAAGTTCGTCTTCGTCGTCAGACAGGATCCGGTTACGAGCGCGTCCTTTGCCTTTGACCGGAGAAAGGAGAATGTCTTCCTCCTCCTCCTCTTCGGCCGTCTCTCCGAAAAGCTCGTCCTCGACTTGAGTCTCCACGTCGCCATCAAGACTGGAAGGCAAAACGTTCTCTTGTTCTTCCTTGAGCGTAATTTGTTTCTCGGTCAAAACGCGTGAAGACACGCTGACGCGGGAAGACGTGGACATGGGTTTGACGTCTTGTTCGTTCAGACCCTGTTGGATGGAGGTGGATACGCGGATACGGCGAGAACCTGAGGAACATCATTAGTACGTGCGTGAAGTCAAAGGTTCAAAGAGACCTACTTGTGGCAGCATCGCCCTTCACGACCACGACGCTAACAGTGCCAACCACTGAGCGCACAGCCTCCCAGCTGCTCTTGTGGATCTCCACGGAACTGCCACGGCATATGTTCAAGTCGTCCGTCTCGAATACAAGTGCGTCGGTATCAAAGTTGAATGTATCCTTCGTGAGCGTGACAAGTTCCTGTACAACTTGATTAATTTTCATATTTCCCTTTGTGCATTTACTTCGTGAACTTACCCCATACGAAGCCGGAACTGGAACCAGCACGCGCTTCAAGCCACTGCTAAGCACTAGCACATCTCCACCAGAGGGCGAAGTAGCCGAAGTAGTAGACGTGAACACGGCAGACTGGGGCAGCATGACTGGATGGATGCAGACCCGAAGTGGTGGTGGCTTGAAACAAGCTCCGTGGGCGCTCTGCCACGCCGATGACCCCGCGCGGTTATGATTCCAACTTGCACGTGCACGACGCGTCGCGACGCGTCGCGTCCGACGGTAGCCGACGGTTCGCGTTCGGTTCGCGTTGACTCGCCTGAGACAGACAGTAGTAGGGTCGTCAATCAGCAGCGAGGCTTTCGCGTACGGTAGTTCAAGTAGCACATATGGAGAGTACATGAACACACGACACACACTAGTTACAGGAATCAAGCCTAAGCAGTCTACAAGATCTTGATACGTTCTCTTCTACGCGGTCTTCGACTTCGGCTTCAACTGAAGATACCATTTGCTGAAGATCCACCTCACCCACGCAGTGGGTAGCCAACTAAGCACCTTGAACAAAAACGCCGCAGGCGCGAAACTAACAAAGTAAGGTGGGCTCCTCCTCAACGCTTTGTCCACCAAGGGCTTAGCGAACTGCTTTGGTGTAAGTGCCTTGATGCGCTGCACCGCCGTCAACCGTTCACGGATGCTCTCAGCGTAATCGGTATAGACAGAGCCCTCGGGGAGCGACCATGTTTCGGAGGTGTGGCTCACAATCCCAGTGCGAACCGCGCCGGGCGCTACGAGCATGACATTGACGTTGAAGGGACTGAGCTCCATCTTGAGGGAGTTCGTGATCATGTGGGCGGCCGCTTTGGAAGAGCCGTATACGGAAGACCACGGTGGCGCGCTGTCAGAGTGGTGAGACGGGATCGTCGCAGAAGGAGGGTGCATAGCTCACAATGTACCGAAAATGGATCCGACGTTGATGATGAGCCCGCTTCTTCTTTGGCACATGGAGGGCGCGATAGCCTTGACGGTACGAATAATGGAGAAGATATTGGCGTCATAGACGGTCTGTATGTCTTCAAACGGTATATCAAGCAAAGGTCCTCCTCGTGACACGCCGGCATTATTCACGAGCTGTAACGTAGGGATCAGTCAAGCGGCTGGTAGGTAAGACAGAGCGATGACATACAATGTCTATCCTGCCCTGCTCTTCCGTGATCTGCTTCACCGCGGCGCTAATAGACTCTTCACTCGTCACGTTCAGCGCTATCCGGTGTACACTCGGAGCTATGCTCGCCATCTTGGCTACATTCCTTGCGCTGCCGTAGACGATGCATCCGCGAGCCGCGAACTCTTCTGCGCTGATGGAAAACGTCAGTCATTGGCCCTAGAGCGAAGCACAGTACACGTACAGAGCAAATCCTATGCCTCCCTCAGAGCATCCGGTAACAAGCACGACCTTGGAGGGTGAAGACATGTCAGAAGAGGCTGGGTAAGCGTTTACTCTCGACAGGTCGCCCTCTACCGGCTTATATCCCGAGAGCAAATTGGCGGACCGGCACAGATCAAGCAGGATTGCCGGTCGGCGCAGACATGCAATATCGCTGTGATATCATATCCCTGTTGAAGATCGTCCGCAGAGCTTTGGCAACAGGCGGGAGCATCGTAACGGTGATGGGGGCCCTGAGGAATAGTATGCTGGTACCAATTGATTCACGCGCTAGATCATTCAGGGAGCATATAGTCCACAAGTCGGTTTCAGGACGTGCAAGCACTGAAAGCTCTGACCAAGAGGTGGCAGTCAAGCACAAGCGTGAGCGAAGTGGACATGGCGGCACGGATGATCGCAGAGGATTATTGATGGGATCAACCTCTACCCCGCCCCCATCTCGGAGTTTCGGCTTCCGACCATCACTGCAGCTTGCCAGTTCATACATCATACTGGTTGCTCGGTCGGCCGTTGCAATTGGCGGAGGCGGGGCACGACCCAGGACGATAGGACGAATCTATTATTGCATGCGCGGATGTACAAGAGATAGTATGGACGACAACAAGCACGACAGTGTACACTTTCTACAGAGCCCAAGAAAGAGAGAAATATCACTAGACGGTTGCCTATACCTTGTACCCGCCCGCAAGACCCATAACATTCTTCGGATCGACCGTCTTCTTGATCTGCGCCAACCTCGCAGCATTGCTTCCCCAAAGCTGCTCCGGCGTCAACTCCTCGAGACCATAGTTCGAGTACTGGAACGCAGAGCCGACGTCCTGCCCCTCGGCATCAGCGGCAGCGCGGATGGTGTTGGTAGCCTCGTTCTGCTTGTCGTGGAAGAAGTCGTAGAGGGTGGTGTCGGTGAAGTAGAAGAAGACGTTGCTGGGGCGGAGAGGGCGCGAGCGGTCGGGAGGGTAGGCCGAGTCTGAGCCGTGGGAGTAGAGAGTCTCGTCGAAGGGTTCGACGTAGAAGGAGCAGAGGAAGGTCGAGTCGTTGGCGGCGAGGGAAGAGCCGTAGTACTGCGGAAGATATGAGTGACTGGAAACTTCGATAGGAAAAGGGGAGGCTCACGGTGGTCAAGTTCCTGAAGGTCTCGAGAAGCGTTGGGGTGTACTGCAACACGTTCACACTCGCGAACTTGGCCGTCACACCAGGAGCAATGGGCGCGATGGGTGACTGCGCCTCGAGCAGGTCGTAGTACGAGCGTGTACCCATATCCGAGTACGTCGTGGGGATATCAAGCAGACCGAAGAATGCATCCGCGGGAGGTTCAGGCGCGTCATAGAACACGGTGATAGTTGAGTATGCCTTCCCGTTGCTGTACTGGTACGCGGGCAGGATGGAGGCCTTGCCGTCGGTGTTGTTGACGGAGAAATCAGCGATCGCCTTGGTCAACTCGTCGAAGTATTGGCCGTCGATCTGGATCAGACCGCCGTAGACCTCCGTCTGAGGGTGAGTCTTGAAGGTGAAGCTGGTGACGATGCCGTAATTGTTGAATGTGCCCTAGACACAGTGTGAGACTACATATTGCGTGATGGCTGCGATATGATGCTTACGCGAACCGCGAACCACAAGTCCTTGTCTTTGGATGTGACGGTCTTGATCTCGCCAGTGGGGAGAACAAGATCGAACGAGACAAGGTTGTCAAGCGCGAGGCCGTATTGGCTAGTCTGGAAAGTGTATCCTGAGACGAACGTCAACGCCGAGTTGTCACAAGAGAAACATATCAAGGCCCACCTCCACCGAGGGTAAAGCCAGGAATGCCGACCCCGGGAACACGAGCACCCGGTGCGTTGACACCCGTCCCGTTAAGGGCCAAGTAGACGTTGTCCCAGACGTTGCCGGCGCCGACCTTGACCGTCGCCTTATCGTCGCTGAGGGTGATGTCTGAGAACTTGGTCATAGCAATCTGGACGCCAGTTGTGGAGGAGAAGCCCTGGTTGGTGATGTGACCTCCGCCCTTGACGGCGAAGGGAGTCTTCGTCGATCCAACGATCTTCAGCTGTAGGGACGACCCTCGTCAGTTCATGCGACTCGTGGGGCTCAAGGATCAAGTGCAGTACATACGATAGCGGATACATCCTCTGCAGAAGCAGGCTCGACGGAGCAAGTTGAATTCTGCTCGCTGGACGTTGCCCAATGTTCAATATCGGCGTCGTATGTGGCAGAACCTGACACACGCTGGCGTCAGAAAAAGTGCCTCAGACAGTGAACGGCGTGGCAAGCGTACCAGGATACGAGACGGTAGCGGACTTCAACACGGCGCCAGCGATCTGCGAGCAGGCATCTGCCTTGGGTGCCGCCGAAACGGACACCGATGCGAGGAGAAGGACGAGGCCGTAGGCGAGCATAGTGAAGCTGCTGTAAAGAACCGACTGTAGACCGCAACCGGAACGACGAGACATGGCTCAAGCCCAACTGTCTTTATACGCTCTCAGTGACTGCGTACCATACCACTAGCCAACCGCCACTGTCGTGCTGGAGCACGGCATCCCAGAGGCTCTGCGGCCCTCCCCGAGATGGCGAGTCGTATTGATTACCAACGCCCGGAACGCGCTTGACAGCATCTTGCAGGCCAGTATGAGCTTGTGTGCAGGGCCGTAGGTGTAAAGGGCTTACGGATGCGTACTTGTTGCACTCGTTCGGCGTGCTGACCGAGAGTCGTTCAGGGAGGCAACCGAGCATCATGGGACAACTTCGTGCCCGACGTATGTCCTTGTTGGGATGGCCGCTGCTGTGCGACGTAAATGACCTGTGATGCATCAATACAATGCAAACTCTAAGCCGTCTCCGCTTCTTGCTGCTCGCCCAGATACCAGGCGGCGAGGAAGAACAGAGAAAGCTCAGTTTGTGGCGTATCTTTGACTGCATCCCAAGTATAGCCCGCGCGAGACTCTGTTGAGCCGTCGAATTGAGACAACATACTTACCAGTAAGTACAAGAGTCGGACACGTCGACGCAGGGTTTGACAATCGTGGGTACGACCGTGAGGCTTAGAGGATGAGGTAAGATCCGGTAGCAGTGAAGTCAGAAAGACAGGGTTGCCGGAAGGAATGCAGGCCCGGAGTTGTGCCTCCAGAGCGTAGACTTCGTTCTCGGGGCAGTCGGTCGGCAGTGAGGCTGGAGAGAAAGTGGCAGCCACCGCCGACGCGGACGTCCTCCCCCGGACCGAGCTAGTACTTCGGCGAGCTCTGCCGGTGCCATGGGATGCGAGTGCGTCATGGGTACCGCACGCGGCGTTGCAGCAAGGGCGGCCATCAGCGCATCAGCCACGAGGTTCATAAGTGGCGTTGCGCCCTCGGCGGGATTACATGAGCAATTTGATATGTTGTTGAAGTTCAGAAGTGCTGCGTGCTGTGTCACAAAACATAATGTGAAGGTCGGTAGAGTCATATTCTGTCAGCGAAGGGCCTACAGTTCACGCCCAACGCCATCCTCCAGCTTGAACCTCTTCACTCCGTCTTCAACTCCCCAAGGCACCTCGTTTTCCCAGTGGCTAATGACAATGACGGCCTGTTGCCGACTAACGCCGCCATTGCGCAAGAACCCACGAACGGCGGTGACCATCCGTTCGTCCATCCCTGACCAAACTGCCATTTCTTGTTTAGAACACGATTCGCGCGCTACATACACTGGTTAACTGACCTTCGTCGAGCATCACTACGGGCGGTGCACCAACAAGCGCCCGCATGACCAACACCACTGCCTGCTCCCCGACACCCAGATTAGAGAACGTGCGATCCGCCCACGCGCCGAGCTCCTCGTGAGAGACATCGTCAGACCACCGGTGGGGGCCAAGGCCATTGAGCATCTCCTCGACACGTTGCTCGCGCCACGCCTGGTCTTCGGGCGAAAGAGAGCCGCTGAGACCGATGCCAACACCATTCTTGCCCATAGGTACGAAGCCACCATCAAAGCCCGTTCCTATAGCTTCGCGCACCGATATCTTGCGTGCGCGAGGCCAGGCGTTATTGAGTTCCGGCGAAACAACGCCGATCTTCGTGCGCAGAGCTGGTGTAGCGTGTCTCCGCCGAGGTGCACCGAAGAGCGTCAGGCCTTGTTGGGTATACGACTGAGGATGATCACCGGTCAGCATGGAGCAAAGAGTGGTTTTTCCGGATCCGTTCGCGCCCTGCAAGTGCCAGCGGTCGCCGGCTCGCACAGTCCAATTGATGTCCTTCAGCACCTGGCATCACAAACGGAATCTTCAGTATACATGAACAACCAAAGCGATAAGAGCCGTACATGGCGCTCATGATACTTGACGTTTAGGTTGACCATCTCGATATGAGCTTCTCCAGGTACGCTCGAGTCAGATGGCGTCTTTGACTGTACATCCGCGGGGGTCGGAACGGCATGTACAAGTTTGATGGCTTCCTCCAGAATCTCCTCCTTGGGACCAGCATGAACCCGGCCTTCGTTCACCAGCGCGAGATGGGTGATCCAGTCCGGAACGGGGTCGTGTGCACGCAGGCCCATGATGATACGAGGACTGTGTGACGCGTGAAGCGCATGCAGTAGATCCAGCAACTTTGGCCGCATTTGTACGTCTAGACCAGCTATAGACTCATGAGTACCAGTCGATAAGCGGAAAAGCACCCCATACTCAGAGGTTCGTCAAGAATCAGGATGGCAGGTTCCCGGAGCAACGCTTGTACGATCCTAGCCCTACGCGTCTGGCCATTACTGAGTGCAATGAGCGGCAAGTCAAGTAGCCCACCGAGCCCCAGCTTCGTGATCCACTCTTCGAATTGAGCATTCGGCACCGAGGCAGACGTGTGCGAGAACATGCTCTCTCGTAAAGTGACGCGGTCTTCTTCACGTACGGCGCCATATCGAGCCGTATAATCGTAGAATGCCCCACCGCCTGCTCTTGGACGGTGTGAGAACGCGACGTGCGCTATCTGTTCGTAGACCGGTCGTCTAGAGTCTAAAGCCGGAAATATGCCGCTCGGAGGCGGCGGTGAGACGCGCATCTCACCCAGCAGGGTCTATGATCAAGTCAACATGGCGTACTCAGCCGGCATCGGGCATCAAGAGGAACCTACATCCAACAGAGCATTCTTGCCGTCTACACTTGAGCCGGCGCCAACAATAGCCCAACTTTCATCCTCATGCACAGTCAAGTCCACGTCACGCAGGACTGGTTTACGCGCTTCACCGAAGCGAAATATATCTGCTTGAGGAATGCGGATGAGTGGCTTGGTGGACTGGGACGACGCAATTCTATGTGTAGGCCTTCGATAGGAAGTTGCTAGAAACCCGATGCGCCGCTGAGCGCGTAGAGGCATAATGGTGTACAATTCTGAGCCTTAGGGACCAATGTCTGGAGAGAATCGATAGTGGTGGTGGTGGTTCAAGCTCATGATGCGCGGGGCAGCTGAAGGCTTCGCGCGGCTTGACTCAGGGACTTTTCGGCCGAAGGATTCGAAACGACAACATTCATTTCTACTACAAGATATGTTACACAAGATGATGAGAGCGAGATAGTTGAGTGATGAGATACAGTGTCAAGTAGTTGTACGTAGAGGTCTTGTGCGAAAGTGACAAGAACACCAGACAGCGAGGGTCAAAACACACTGAGAGTTTGAGACGACGATAGGGGATGATGTACATGGTAAGAGCGAGATCATACAAGATAGAGATTGTTCGATACATGTCTACTTGTTGCGAAGAGAGTCCATCACCACGGGTCAGAAGCTTGAATGGGTGGGCCCCAATCATCCTCACCCACGGGTGCCGCCCATTGAGTCTTCGGCTTTACAACTGGGGTCTGAGGTGCTGCTGGAGGCCCACCGGGCTGCGCGTTCCCTTCACGACCTCCACGACCAGTACCGCGGCCGCGACCGCCCCAGGCATCCCCTCCTCGGCCACCACGAGCGTTACCCCGCCCACCTCCACGAGCAAAACCGCGCGCAGGTGCGTTGTTCGATGCCGCGCCACCCCACGGCATACTACCGACATCGACGCTGCTCCAGCCAGTGGTCGACTGCGATCGTGCAGTAGCCACACTCGCAACACTGCGAGCATCGTCGTCTTCAACAGGACCACCACGAGCGGATGCATTCTTCGCAGAAGAAGCCGCTTGACCCCAAGGCATGCCCGAAACGCTGACCTTTCCCCAGCCAGATGTGGATTGCGTACGCTGGGTAGCCGCGCTGGCCACACTGCGAGCATCATCATCATCTTGCCCGCCACTGTTACCCCATGCAGTATGTGCTGAGCTTGCAACGGACTTATCGTCGCCGTCGCCTGCATCCCAATCTCCCCATCCATCTGGAACTTCGTTGCCCCAGCCAGAAGCGCCCGGAAGCTTGGATGGTCGCGCAGCATCAGCAGCCAGTGCAGGGTTTGTAGATGTCGAACGACTGGGTATGGGCGACGGCCCAGATGAATGACTCTGCGAACGATCTATATCCGCGACCAATGTTATAACCTCGACGATTGAAGACGCGTGAAGAAGGCTTACCTTGGGGGCGAACTTGAGGACGAATCCAGTTCTCGCGTTCGCTAGGCTTCGGCTTCTTGTCGCGGGGCTTGCCGCGACCATTACCACCGCGCGTCGAAGTCCCATTCTTCGCCTCTATTGCCTCCCTCTCCTCCCTCTCCTTCTGCTTCTTCATCGCCTTGTACACCTTGCATATACCTTTCGGGCACACGGGTCCATGCTCAGGGCAGTTCCCCCTCCACCACAGAACCTGCGTCTTGGGCTCGTTCGCATCGGCCCAAAGGTTCTCTGGTGGATCTTCATCGTCGTCCGGAGCGCCAATCGGGGTTTGAATGAGGCTGGAGGCAACCGGTGCGGCAGAGCCGAGACTCAATCCACGCATCGCCCGCGAGACATTGGCGACTTTGGGCATATCATCATCCTCTTCATATTCGTCGATGTAGTCGGCTTCGTCCGCTGCGTCGGGAGAAGTGACATAGCTGCTGTGGGAAACCGCGCGGGACGACGGAGCGTAGCCAGTTATCAAGGAATCTCCATATGATGCAGGTCCGTACTTCGATTCGTTTTCCATCTCTTCAGCCCAGTCGAACTTGCTGTCCGCAGCTTTCGGTACGAGCTGCTTTGCACCGGAGGAGGCGGTGCGACCGCCAGAAGATGTGCTGCTTCCAGAGCTAAGCTCTGGAGTAGGCGTCTTGTGAGACTGGGTGTTCAGACCAGGAGGAGGTCCAAGTGGCGAGGCAAGCCCGGGAGGTGCCGAGGTGCTCCCTAATACACGTATGAGATAAAAACTATATGTCTCCGAATCATACTCACATGGATCATTAGGAGGAGATGCCACTGAAGACACGGAGGGAGTGGACGCCGTGGTCGCAGTTACACGCGGCTTTCCTTGACCCCAAGCACCCGAGAGGATGGGAGCGGCTGCCTGCTTCTGTTTTGGACCAGCGGGAAGGACACCTGTCTTCTTCCACTCATGCCATGCGGGAGATCCAACTATGCGATGGTAAGTATAATATACTACCTGTAGATGAACATACCTACCTGCCGGTATCGCGGCTTTGGGTGGGGGCTTAAAGTCCTTCGCGGGAAGCGGGCGGCATAGTTGAGGCTGATTAGGATCGTTCATGTTTGCTTTTGGGAGTTCACACCATCCAGTTTTCGGATACGGCCATCGGATCTTCCTGGGAACGACATCATTGAGTAAAGTCGTAATGGCAGGTTTCCTATCACGTACTGGTTGTGCGCAGACCATCCGTTGTACCAACCCGGCTGGACATCAATCCGCTTCCAACCTGCATGAGATATCAGTGAGGTTGATACCTAACCCGAGTCCAAGAATCTCACCTGCTTTCTGCACATCTCGCCCACGGTTGTACGTACAGTAGAAGATGCTCGAGTACTTGTCCCGCTCTTCGGTAGTGGGCTCCATCACGAAGTCACTCCACTGGTGCTTTCCGAGTAGACCGTTCCAGTTTTCAAAGTCTCGACTGACTTCAATGATGAGGATGCCTCCAGACTAAGAGCCGGATCAGTTGGTATATCCCTGGTGGCATCACACGGGCATAGGAGAGATAGCACACGTATACTGTGACCAAGACGTGCAGGCGAGAGGGAAGAGACCAATTCGTACCTTCGGTCTATAGTAGAGGGCCCGTAAAGGGTAGTCGTGAAGCCGAGGATTTCCCCCGATGCAACACGCCAGCCAAAAGCAGACTCGAATCTGGTCGTGCTCAAGCTCCATGTTCGGATGCGTCTTGGGATATGGGTGAACGACGCTCAGATATTTTGGCTCGTCATCCGCAGGAGGTGGCGTCTTTGGGCGTTTCGGCATGATGTGAGCACGGTGAAGTAGATATCGCTGTGTGACCCGACGATGGTGGTTCGAAAGCAAGCCGCGAGACGCGACAGATGCCACTGAACCACGCGCGACCGGACGCCAATCGCCGTACCAATCGAGGCTTTGATTTCTCCTTAGTTGTCGGTCAAAGGATCGCTACCGTACGTATACAGGCCATCGACATCGATGATAGCGCGTGACGGCCTGTGTTCAGTCGTTTGCTAGCCACGACGCGTCGGACGCGTTGTTTGGCCTGGTGTGGGACGCGTTATGGGTCCATGTTTCGCGTGCCACAATGCGATCGCAAAAGAGGGGAATTCTTTGCCCACAGTCGGGACTCATACGGATCATACTCATCGCACTGGACCCAATTTTGATTCACATACTCTTTCCAAGTCTGCAAGTATGGATCAGCCTGTATATCAGATGAACGCGCAGGTTGAAACGCGACTCGCTTGGGCGCGGAAGGACTGTAACCGGGCCGCTAGTGCCGTCCCTTGATGCTGCAAAATTGACGTTCGACTCGTGCATCCATCAAGCTTGACATCGTCAATCGCAGGCCCTTTGTTCAGTGAACTTGGATCAACCAGATTTGCGCCAGGACACAATCTTGGCAACAGTATCCATGCAGCTGAAACGTTGGTGCCAGGGGATGCACTCCTTGGCCTTGTTTTCTGCGTGAAGAACAAAGGCCATGCACGACTCTCCGCTGTGTCGTTGTTCCGGACGTGTCGCCTCTCGCTTACAAGTTTCCATGCAATATGGCATGCGTCCCAATTCTGCATGACCCTTGTTCTCTCGGCTCAGTAGATATATTCCGCCCCGTCTCTTGCCTTCCTTCAGCGCTTGAACTTGAACCGTCAACGCTTCACCAAGATGTCCCTCGTCTGCTCATCACCCGGCGAGTCTTCCCTGCTCGAGACCCTCCACAGCGTACTCGACGACGTACAGGACATCTTCGACTACACGACACTGTACGAGCCGGAGTCGCGCGCCCGCGAGTTGTTCTGCGCGTTGGGCTTGCGCTTCCTCAACATGCCCGTGCGACGTCCTCTGGACAAATGTCACGCCCGCCCACCTCCTGGGTACGTATAGTCCATACCACTTCCTGTGATCGATACTCTAGCTTGCTTCACCTGGCTTTCTGTCTTACAGATGCGTTCGTTTGCGCCTGTTCTCCGCTGAGCGGCGCCGCGCGGGCTTCGCGCTGGACCAAGCCGACTTCCGCCTTGAACGTAACGGTGAGCTCGATGTGGACTCCGTGCGCGCTTATTGGGGAATACAACGCCTCCGCGTAAGATTCTTCATAACCGGCCACGTATCGATAGCTTACAATCATGACAGCCCTGCTCAAGCAGCACCGGGATGGTGTTCGCACCAGCGCGGGAGGACCGCTGGTCTGCACTCGCGCTTCATAACTTGACGGACGGGAAACAGCCGTTGTTGAACGTGATATGTACGTCCCCTCATTGTAACAGGACACGCTCAGCTGCTGACATCGACAACTGTCCGCAGACTTGCCCACGCCAGAAGACGCTACACAATCCCACTTCCCGCCAAGCAGGCTAGCGCGCGTTGCACGACACGCAGCAACCAACCCCGCCCTCTATGTGCACGCTGCACTCGCCTTTTACGCACTGCCCTATCTCTGGGTCGCGTTGCTATGGCTCCTCTCGCTCATGCGTTGGGCCGTGTGCTGAACGCCGCCTACCGCTTCTTGTCGCATGCTTTGTTCTGCTTTCGTCCTGTGCTTTGTTCACTTGTTCCGGATTTGTCTGCACGTGCTCTTGATTAGGCCTCAAAGCCATTATGCCTCATGCCCCCATGCCTTATGCCCTATATGCTTACCGTATGCCACTCCCCATTCACATCGTCTTGCATCATCTTCACGCTCTCTTTCACGTACCCGTCTCTTGAATATCTTTGTCGCATGTCTATCGCTTGTAATTGTATCAAGAATGACTCGGGGCCTGCTTTCAGTTTGTGCTCACCTCTATATGTGTTTTCGAGTGCTTTCATCGCGCATGAGCCTGGAGGATGTAGCGCCAGTGACCAGTCTTTGCGCATTGGGACATATTGTCTTCATTTTGAAAAGAGTACAAGGTGGTATAGTGTAGTGGTTATCACCCTGGATTTTGACGTGCTGCAATTTCCAGAGACCCAGGTTCGAACCCTGGTACTACCTTGGCATCTGCTCAGGCTGGTTTCCTTTTTCTTCCTCACACCAAAGCCCTTTGCTAAATACTTGAACGCATTATACTAACGTGACGATTGAATATTGATGGCTTATCCGAGATACGGGCTTCTGTCGTGTCGATGGGCGCGACACAATTTTTGAAGAGTACGGCATGTATTGCCTGCGCGCACTGGGTAGACGGGTTCGGCCACTATAGGTAAGTTATCCTCCCGCTACAAGCTAAACCTGTGGGACGCAAGACATAGTCTCCGAGACGGAACAGCAGGCAATGTATATTCCGCTAGGTACACGGGAGCCCGCGAGGGGGACGAGAGTAGGTAGGCGGACTGTAGACGATAGTCTACGCGGCGCGGATGGGAGTAACAGTACAGAGATACCAAGCAACAAAGCTCTTTACTACTGAGGTGTCTCGATTGTATTAGTATCAGGGGGGACAGGGGAGATATATCGAGAGGCGCGCTTCAAAAAGGGAAACAAACGAAATGAAAATGGGGGTTCGCATAGGACAAGAAATTCGGTCGGTCGCGTCGTCGACCTTCAGAGAAAGGAAGTTGTATTTCGAAGAGAAGTAAGAGAGAGGGAGAAGACGAAGAGAAAGGAGACAAGCAACGGAGTATCAGGCGGCGAATGTTGACTGGGGAATAAGGATCACGCGCAACCAAGGGCCCAAGGGGTGGTGTGCCGCGCCGTCCGTACAACCCGATCGCGCACCATGGCTCGCGGTATCTGATGATGATAGTTGTGGTTTTTATCCGTTTATTTTCGCAAGACGAGTCCGGGCAAGGCAGAGCAACGAGCGTCAGGAAGTCCTCAGGGTATCGGTATCTTCAGCAATCGGGCGCGGGTTTCATTTACGCCTCAGTGGCGACCTCCTGCGCGGGCGTGACCGGCACCTCGTCGACGGCCATACCCTCCTCAGCCGCAATGGCGGCGGCGTTGAGCACGCCGGGGTCGATCGGAGTCGGGTCAATGGGCGTCGGACCTCCACCGGCCGAACGGCCGCGACCGCCCTGAGGACCGGAGCGCGGCGGGTTGGCGCAGCGGTCCTTGCCGTGCGCGATGCGCAGGTTGGCATAATCGGGCTTGGACTTGATGCCGTCGATGGCCTTGATAGCGTTGGAGATGTTCGTGAAGTTGACGAACGCGCAGTTCCTACGAGCGAGGGTTAGTGTCGGATCAATGTGTATCAAGCTGGTAGGTGACAAACTTCTCCTTGAGGAAGTTGACGAGCTCGATGTCGCCATACTCGCCGAAGTCGCGCTTGAGGCGGTCCTCAGAGAACGCCTCGAAGTCCTCGATGTTGCCAACGTAGACGTTGCGCGTAGCACCGGAGTGAACGGCAAGGGCGAGCGCGGGCGGGAGCGGACCGCTGTTCTTGCCCCAGCCGATCTTGAGACGGCGGTTATTGAGAGTCAGACCCTGGTAGCTTGCGACCTGGAAGAAGGTGAAGGCGGCCGCCGGGTCGACGAACGTGACGAAAGCGATGTGCTTGTCTTGCATGTAGCGGATGCTCTGGAGGACACCGCCGCGAATGGCGTTGCAGAGGTCCTCGGGGCTAGTCTCGGGGTGGATGTTGCCGAGGTAGACCGTGCGGTTGAGCGCCTGAGCACCGAGCGCCATGCCCTCGGGAGAGAAGGGCGTGAAAGGCGAGAACGGAGACATGCCGCCGTTCAGGTTGGTGTTGATCGGCGAGAGGGCAGCGCTCTGTGCAACGAGGGACTGGGCAGCCGCGGCTTGGGCAGCCTGAGCGGCGGCCTGCTGGCTCTTAGGGATGTACGCGCAGCGGTCCTTGCCGTAGTTCACACGCTTGCCGGCCCAAGCGGGCTCGGTGGGGAGCGTGTTCACGACCTTCGTAGCGACGGAAATGGACAGGAAGTGGACGAAGCCGATAGCCTTGTCGCGGACGATCTTGACCTGGTCAATGAGACCGAAGCGGGAGAGATCATCGCGGAGTTGTTCCTCGGTAACGTTCTCGTCGAGGCCGCCGAGGTAGACGTTACGGCTAGCGTTGCTCTGCGAAATAGCGAGAGCGACCTGCGAGGGGACGGGCGAGGGCTTTCCCCATCCGATCTTAAGCTCCTGGTTGTGGAGAGCGAGCTTCTTGATCGTGGCGTCCGCGTGGAAGGCGGCAGCAGTCTGGGCGTCAAGGAAGGAAATGAAGACACAGGACTTCTCCGGGAGAATGCGAACGCTCTCGAGGGGACCGAAGTGGACGAGGTTCAGAAGCTCGTCGACGGAAGCAGATGCGGGCAGGTTGCCGACATAGACCGTGCGACCGGTTGCCGCGCCGTTAGCGCCAAGAGCAGCAGCGAGAGCGGCGCCGCTGTAGCCTCCAAGCGAAGGCGTGAGGGGCGAGGCGAGACCGTTGAGGTTAGGCAGGCGCTAAACACAAAACAAGCAATCAGCATCTGTACAGCAAAGAAGACGGGCGATCAAGATGGCGGCAGGGTTGAACGGATACCCGTGATGGCTGCGCACGGAACCGGTAATGTGACTGCTCTGGAAATAATCGCTTACCGTGTTGAGGGACATCTGGCCAGCCTGGTAAGGGAAGCCGTTGAGCATACCGGGCATGCCCATGCCGAGCATGTTGAAGTTGCCGAACGCGAAGTTGTTCTGGCCGTTCGCCTGGGTCGGGCTCTGCGCCTGAGCCTGAGCAGCTTGCTGGGCAGCAGCGAATGCAGTCGCGGTGTTGGGGCTCATCTGCGGGTTGATCGGCGTAGACGGCGTCTGGAGGGACGTCGAGTACAGGGGAGAAGCCGGCGGCGCGAAAGACGAGGGAGATGCAGCGGCAAGTGCCGCGGCGGCCTGAGGACCGTAACCGTAGTTGGCGAACAGGTTCAGGTTGTCCCTCGGCGAGGTCGCGCCCGCGCTGGGCAGGGCACCGTTCTGAGCAGCACCGTTGCCGTTCCCGGGGAACGAGTTGGGCGACCAGCGTGCCTTTTTCGAGCCAGGGCCCACGTCCGTGTCAATGGGTCGCTGAACAGTCTACTTCTCAGCTTTTGGTTGTTAAAGAAATCAGATAAAAGCTCACCTTCATCATATCGATATCGAAACCGTAGGCGGAGGCGGAAGGGTATTGGGAGGCGAAAGCGGCCTGCTCTGGGTCCATATCCAGAGTAGGGGAGGGGGTATAGAAATGGGAGGGTTTAAAGATGAGGGTGGGGTCGTCTAAAGAGCGGCTTTACACGCACAAAGAAAGAGGATGTGCTGTGAAGTTATAGATAACCAAAGGTTAAGAAGGGGCAAACGACGCCGACCAACGAACGACTCAAAACGACGTCGAGGAGAAGAAGGAGAGGGTGGCCAGCGCATCTTCTGCTAATATGCCCGCGGATACACCCGGACGATAAGCCGGTCCGCGGCGCTCCCATCACTTCATGATCTTCATCCATCCACCAACGCCCATCGCGCACAGCTCTCTCCCTCTCATCCATCATTGTGGCTTCTAGCTGTTCCGCTCATGGCCGCTAGAGCCGGCTGACCCTACGTCCGACTGGCAACCCTCTTCTCATGCTCAAAGCATCTACACAAATCCTCTATCGAGTTCAAGCTTTGGGTTCCAAGCTTCTCGGTAGCGCTCGCACCAATGGCGCCATCGACCCGCATTTGATCGTAGGACGCTCTGGGACGCTAGCGCGCCTTCCGCTCATATATCGTGTCGCAACCGGGCCCTGGAAGATATCGTCCGCAGCAGGCCAGCGGGAGCACGTCGCGCGCGCCCATTGGATCCGTGTTCCACTTCGTTCCTTATTCCATGTGAATACACACGGACACACAATGCTTCGATGTATACTTGTACTCCAGCTGTACTTGATATAACGCCCTCTGGGTCTTCCATCTCAGCCTATCGCTTGCCATTGCTGGTCACGGGAACGTAATCCGCTTCCGTCCCCTGTAGGTCTGGGAGCGTAACTTGCTTCACTGAATGGTCCGCGTCAGCGCTTGAGAACGTAGCATGCCGACACGGCGCGATCTACAGTAATGCCTGATTCGTGCTGAGAATAGACGTATACTCGATCTTTGCCTCTGGCTGATCCATAGAACTCGTCGGCTTGTCTGTTTAAGTACACTTGGAACGCCCAGCTTCACACATTTACCACACCTGCTGCTATCGAAGCTGCAAGCCTCTTCAGTGTGCAGAGCGATCGGTCTGTCGCAGCTACACATGGGCCGGTTCTCTTGCAAGTTTGAACGGACACGACGTGTCGTACGACACCTTCACCAGCGTCTCTTAGTAAGTATATGAATTCCGGAGCATCTCCACATGCATGAGGTCCGGAAGTCAGCGTGTTCAGAGGTCGGAACACCGTTACCGGTGAAAGACAGCACATTTGGTATACGTGGAGTATCATCCTGTACCCAGCGTAAGTGGGTTAACGTATACGTCACATACCATATCACGATACGTATGATATATCCGCATGATGGCAATCACCTCAATTGTCGCATAACGGAGACCCAACTCGCAACCCGTGCAACCCGTGCAACCCGGGACCGATGCGATTCGCATTTTGATGCGCGCACTGCCGGTTGACCCCGAGGGATTTCCGCCCCCTTCGGGGTGGCATACGAAAAAATTGGAACGATACAGAGAAGATTAGCATGGCCCCTGCACAAGGATGACACGCTTCTCCAGAGTGGTAGACCTACGGGTCTCAATATTTATTTTGCTTCTTGCTCTTATCCACACTACGAGCCTGAGACCGCTCCTCAGTCACTCTTTCTAAGCAGATTGTTGAAAGAAAAGTTTATGCATTGTGTGTAGTACTTTGTGCGAGATATGAACAGGATCGTGCGTGGGTATATTACAAGAGCCGAGAGCGCCAGCGCTGTCAAACTCGATGGGTATCATACAAGAAGTACATGGTTCAGAACGGGAAACCCGCGGGCAAGCCGACCGTGCTGTTCTGCGCGCCCTTCGTGACAGTGAAGCCGAACGGCAGAGTCCCCTCAACAGGGAGCTGGTTCGGGAGTGTGAAGTTGAACTGCCGCGCCTCGACACCGACCTCACGCTTGAAGGGGAAGCCCGAAGGGAGCTCAACGGTGCTGTTCTGCGCGCCCTGGGTCACAGTCAAGCCAAAGGGCAGCGTGCCCTCGACGGGCAGCTGGTTGGGCAAGGTGAAGTTGAACTGCCTCGCCTCCACGCCGTCGCGCTTGAACGGGAGGAAGCCGAACAGCGTCGAGTTGTCGTTGCCGGTGACGATGCTGCCCGAAGGCGTACCGGGCGTCACGGTGATCCCGTTCGGGAAGGTGCCACTGACAGGAATGGTGTTGGGAATGTTCGCGGAGAACTGAGGCTCACGCGCTGCCAGAGCGGGAGTCGCGTCCTCGCGTTTGAACGGGAAGCCCGACGGGAGGCCGACGGTGCTGTTCTGAGCGCCTTGAGTGACGGTGAGGCCGAAGGGAAGGGTACCATCGACGGGGAGTTGGTTAGGTAGGGTGAAGTTGAATTGGCGCCTGAATGGGAAGCCCGACGGGAGACCGACTGTGCTGTTCTGTGCACCTTGCGTGACGGTCAGGCCGAAGGGGAGCGTTCCCTCAACAGGCAGTTGGTTGGGAAGGGTAAAGTTGAATTGGCGAGCCTCGACGCCGCGTTTGAACGGGAAGCCCGAGGGAAGCCCGACGGTGCTGTTCTGCGCGCCCTGGGTCACCGTGAGACCGAAGGGGAGCGTGCCCTCGACCGGGAGCTGGTTCGGAAGAGTGAAGTTGAACTGGCGAGAGTCTATGTCGTCGCGCTTGAAGCCGAACGCGCCGAAGAGCGTCGAGTTGTTGTTGCCCGTAACGATGCTGCCAGACGGCGTCTGGGGAGTGACGGTGATGCCGTTCGGGAAAGCACCGCTGACGGGGATGTTGTTGGGGATGTTGACCGAGAACTGAGGCGCCCGTGCTGCCAGAGCGGGGGTCGCGTCGTTGCGCTTCATCCTATATCGATGTCAGTATCGAGTTCAGTAGGTGAATGGAGGCAACGTACGGTGCAGGAACTGCCTCAACTGCCACGCCGACGGCGAGGAAGACGAGAGTGTAGAAACGAGTAGAGAACATGATTGAAGTTGATGAAGAGTGGTTGAGTGATTGAAGAGTAGACGAGTAGTGGATGATGAGTATGGAGGGTAGTATGCGGGCGCTTATATAGTCAGTTGTACAGGAGACTCGCGTATCCGAAACGATAGACGAGGGGGCAGTCGTCTCGGAAGCGCCCCTGTTGAGAGTATCGACAGGAGGCATGCGCCGTAGTGAAGAATCGAATGGCCGGGGTGACCCACCATAATCCTGGTGTAGCAAGTTTGATATCACTATTCGACAATATCGTGAGCACTCTTCCGAGACTGTCAAGGTTCTAAGCTGAGAGAGCTTCAGCACTTTCCTGCGCCTAGCGCCGCGAGTCGACGACGCCTTGCGTCCCGAGACACCATTGCGCTCCGAGACACTAAGAAGCGGTCAACCGTCTCTGCACTTGGCCAGTCTGCCGTTCTGAGAAGCGACAAGGTTCACGGAAGGATGCACTATGGGGACACTTGTTAAATCAAGCGGCAACGGCTCTTCAGTGGCGCAGATTGAGTTTAGAAACGACGATCGTGTCACCATTGTCTACGTGGCACCGTATCCGGTACGGCCACGTATGTACATGTCCCAAAACAGCATAAAGTCTGGATATGAGGGCGACTTATGATGGTGGTGAGAGCCAAGCCGCAACTTGACCACGCGCGTCGCGCACTCCTCCGTATCTTGAACCTCAACTTCGACGATGAACTCCCTATATACCCTCGGCGTCCGGCAGACGTCGTCCATCCAGGCAGACTTGGAGCGTCTACGGTCTGGCGATGCGTCGGCCTCACTATTAGGTCCCAGGTCCGCCCTTACCTGCGCCTGCGCCGCCTACTCATGTGCGAGCTACCAGGCCAGATCTCCGCCTCTTTAGCGGGTATGGCGCGTACGATTGAAGATTATGACTCAATGGCGCGTCGTGAAATGATCAAGGCCAAGCAAGAGAAAGCAGCCGCGTGCGTATTTTCGCATATGTGCATATGTCGGGCAGTTGGGATACTGAAGGTGCGATAGGCGCGTGCAGAAGTTCAGGAACGACTATCAGGAGCTCAAGAAGGAATTTGAGAAGTTGAAGAATGAGGTATACTGCATTTCCTCTCGGATACCACAGACAACGTGCTGACCTCCGTGGCAGCATACGGACACGCAGCGTGCGGCGCTACTTTCCTCGGGTGCTGCAGCTTCAACATCTGGGCCACACGATGCAGCACGGCGACGGGCGCCTATGTCTGCCTCGTTACCACCTTCGGATGCCGACAACCCCTTCCGACCGAATCCCTCCCGGGGTGCTTTCATGGGCGACTCACGGGAGGCATACGCGTTGCGAGAGCATTCTTTCGCTCAACAAACACATGACCGACTTGATGAGATGCTAGCACAAGGCCGCGCAGCCCTCGACGATCTGGTTGACCAGCGGAGTATGCTGAAAGGGACACAACGTCGACTATTGGACGCTGCCAACACCCTGGGACTGTCCAGGGACGTCATTGGATGGATCGAGAGGAGAAGGTGTGTTCATGTCGTTTTCTGCCTACGTGACACCAGCTGACTGTACTCCGACTCAAGTACGCAGGATATGTATATCTTCTGGGCTGGAGCAATCTTCACGTTCTTTTGTTTCTACATGATTTGGAAGTATCTTGGTTGACATCTATCCCTACTGCTCGGAATCTGCGTTTACATGTACTTACTCGACCTTCATACCCTGATATCCCAGACATTCTTAAGTCCCCGACGGAGAATATCTACATTCTGCGACACGTGGCATGCGCGGTATCACTATTACAGCAACTGACCTCTCCTGTAGATCTCCCTCGGTGGACGCGTCTCGGACGGCGACTGTCTCGGAATGGAAATCTCCTACCAACGTTTCCGGCCATTCGGGACTGTCCATGGATAGGGGTGCTTCCGAGACGGCCGCCACCTCGTCTGTCGTTTCGGATATGCGAGCCTCCTGTACATCTGACTATATAAGCCCTTGCATACTGCTCTTCATCCTCATCATCCACTACTCGTCTACTCTTCAATCACTCAACCACTCTTCATCAACTTCAATCATGTTCTCTACTCGTTTCTACAC